ATGTCCTATGCCGCGTTATTAAACCTTTGTTGCGACCCATTTCCCTTTTCTTTTCTCCCCGCGACAAGGATTAAGCTGTCGTTTCGCTTACGTTCACCCCGCTATTTCATCCCTGAATTCGCGATCTTTTACTCCGCGCCTACGTCGCCTCTAATGTCCCGCGTTTCGTTTCGAATCGAGTCCCACCCTCGGACACGCGTTCCTCGACCCGACTTTGCGGATTAACCGCAATTCCAGCCGGTTTTATCGCGTCGCGCCGACGACTACGACGTAGCGACTTTCTAACGAGCCAAGGAATTTCCGCCAACCAAGCCGTCCCGCTCGATAACGAGTACAAAAGAGAGGAATGCGTGCCAACCTTTTAACCTCCTCACGTTTGTCACGCGTCTCGTTTACGCTTCTTCTTTTCCCCTGGAATTTCTTCGGCCTGGCGAATCGCTTGGCGTCGCGGCACGCGCGGATCACCGGACGAGCAACGAAGCAATTATACGGTGGATCTAGAAAACGCAGAGTAAAACCATTAAGGACGGTTGCTCGTTCTCGAGACGACGCTACGAATAATAGCCGACGCAGCAGTCGTTGGAGATCCGCGCTCGCGTGGCTTAGCCCTCCGCGATTATGCAGAATCGGGGTAGATCCCTCGGATCATCCTGAAACACAGCGACTCGGAGGAAACGATTCCGTTGAAAGACCGTCGGCGTCGTCGCGAGTGATCGCGTCTCGTCCTCTCGACGGATTACTCGGTTAGAAACGATCGAACGTTGCGTTCGACGACGCACCAAATCCAATATTACTCGGGGACGTACGCCTTTCCGAGTTCCGCGGCCGAGTAGAAGTAACGGATAAAGAAGCTAAGCTACTTAGCGTAAGCTAAATCCATGTCGTAATCCTTGGTGGTGAATCCGAACGGAAAGTTCGTTGCCCGTAAACTGGGTAGAGTCGAAGAAATCGCAACTTTGATCTCGCGTTTGACTTTGGCAATTTTTCTGGACCGTTGAAACGGACGTCTGACTCTACGTTTCGTCGATCGATTCGTTTCCAGGATATTTTCAATCGTTCATAAGGGAGAAACGAAGCGACGACGAGCAAAGGTTCGAGAGCGACTTTGTACGTTTCGTTTCGTGACTTTTTCAGGGTTCGTTGGAAGATGGATCGCGTGGGAGGGAACGATGCGTGCCTCGCACCCTCTGCAAATGGTTAGACGAGGGTAGGCACGGCTCTAACGATGGAACGGGATGGAATGGAATGAAACGCCAAGGAATTAGGGACACGTGTCCGGGAATGAAAAGATTACCCTCGCCGGAAAGACGCGAAGGGAGTGGGAATGCGTTCCTGGTCTGGTCTTCCTCCGAGAAAGTTTCACCGTCGAACGGGCGGTTTATTTTCCGATCAACGAATTCGTTTTTAAGCCACTCCGTTGCGTTTCTTTCCTATCAACTGCGCGTTATCGATTGATATCAAAGCTTGCACACGGTTATCACGGAGGGTGCGAAAAAATGGCAGGTGAACGCGACCACTCGAGAAAAACGTTGCCGGCGAATATTTGTAGAGGCGATAAGCTGTTTCCCCCGAACCGGCGAGCCGTCGAGCCGTCGCGGAGTGAATCACGACGAAACATGGTTGTTTGCAAACTTTGGCGGCCGTAGCCGTGACTTCCTCCTGAAAACGTGGCGCTTTCGGTAATACCTTGTGGCGCTTCCTCGCATTTACCGAATATACGAGAACAAGGAGGGAACGAACCGCGTAACTAGGACAACTAATATCTCCTCGGTCCACGATACGGAAGTCTAGAAAATCGATCGGTTTCAAGTTTTTAGCGATAAATCAAAGTAACGCGCTGCGCAACAGATAGTTTATTATTTTACAACGGAGGTAGGCGCGAGAAACGTCGATTGTGTTGCTCGCGCAAACAAAGGGTACGCTGCCGTAGTCAAAGGGTTAATAACGCGATTGTCACGTTTTCGACCAAAGGAAAAAGCGTAGGCGGCCGACAAAGGAATCGTCCTAGTTTCGCGATTTAACTTATACATAGGCAGCTGCGGGCGGTTTCGCGCAGTTGCACGAACGTATTACCGTAACCCGCACCGTCTCTCCGCTCCGTACGGGCGAAGGGAAGCGAGACAAAGTCACGTTTCCTCTTAGCTCTCGATTTCGATAATAGGAATTGCATTTGCCCGGTTCCCCCGACTCCCCCCTCGGTCTTACCTCGACACCGCAGAGTGATCCGTGGCGACGAGCGAACGGTGCTAAAACGTGTTACGAGTATCAATCGATTCGGCAACGTTAGCCGCACCGCCCCGCATCGCCATTCCACCCTTAACGTATTCTCACTGCGAGTCGAGTCGTTCACTTTCACGAAGGAATCTATTTTCGGAGGATCTTGCCACGGAAGCGTGGCGAATCGCGTTCGTGACAGCAGGAGGAAAAGAAAAATTGAGAAAAAGGAGAAGAGGACGCGCACGGCACAGGAAGTAGGATTACCGCGGCAATATCTAGTCGCGTTCGTTGAGGAAACAAAAGTAAACCGAGGAAAAATTAATACTCTCGGTGCTGCCATAGGTTTTCGAACGGAAATTCATCCGGGGAAGAAACTTCGAAAACTGATAGATCGATCGGTTTGGAGATCGATGACTCGTTCGGATGGCAGGAAGTCTGCAGGTAGCTATTCCCAAAGTGATCGGACGCGTTATCGATGTTCGACTAAAACTGACCGATGCGACAATGGAGGCTCTTTGATGCAATTGCCTTTGAACGCGTTCGATATCGATCGATAGAAGGATGCTCCAGTATACGTTGCGATACGCGATGCGACGACAGGGAGCAGATAATTAGCAGCATCGTGGTATGGAAATCGCCTGGATAACAGTGCTACCGATTGACCGAGTACAACTTGCTCGTTGAAATGTCGCCGCAAGTCCATCGAAATTTTCATGCGTCTCGTTGGTCATCGATTTCTCATTCAGCAACAGGTGGCTCGTTTTTTCCCGAATTCACGGAAACAAATTTGAGACGAACCGCGAAAACGTTGCTCTTATCGATCTTGCTTTTGTTCTTCGAACGAACCTTTACAGCCCTACCAATTTCTTTGTATCGCGATAGAAAGAATGTTTGCACAAATCGACTTCGTTAGCTCAAGGAATCGTTTATTAATCTAACGGCAGTCGAGCCGATTTCGACGTTGTTCCTTTGAGCGAGTTCCGTGTTTAACATTTGCAAAATCGCCACGATCGACCGGTCGATCGTGCCTACGGAGTAAAGGGTGAAAGGGTCGGAGAAAACCTTTCCGGATAATAATAGGAAGGAACAACTCGAGGTCTCTTTGACGTCATTGGTTTCTTTGGCAATCAACGGTAGGAACGGTGTAACGAGAGCCGTAGTTGAGTTTGAACGAACGAGAGAGGGTGAAAGACAAGAGGGCTCGTCGTCGCTCGTCGACGAAAGAGAGTCGAGGGATTAAAGAGACGACGGCACCGGTGCAGGCGAAACCTTTAGGCTTTACCTCTTCTTTCGTATTTATTCGATTCTTTGGGGGATAGAAAAACGAACGAACTGTAAGGTTAATGCAATCGCGGATCACCTAACGATTTACTTTAGAACGAAGAGTCGAAAATAGAGAGCAAGTTTCGCGGTTGAACAACGAAATTTTCAACTTTGAAACTTTCTTCGAGGAAGGTTTGCCCGCGGAACGTGTATCGAGGATGTATCGAGCGGTCTCGAGGGTAGGTTGACCGATAACAACCAACGAACACGCGATAACTGGCATCGCGTTTCCCGACTTTTTACGAGCCGTCCGAACGTCGAACGAGCGAAAGAATCGTTACCGTTGAAAGATACAGTCACGAAAAGCCAATGTCTCCGTAAATACGTTCGTCCGAGACGAATTCGATCTTTCCTTCTTCGTCTGGTCGTCGGGAATCATATTTTATCGAAGCGACCAGAATATCTATCGTTATCTATCGTTCGTCGACCTCTCGTAAGAGAGTTCGCGAATCCGTTTCGTTAGCGAGCTTGCGAGCTTTCGAACAGCGAAGATTGCACCGGACATCCTCGTCGGTGGTGCACTCGGGAAGACGCGGTCGGTTACCAGCTACGGGCGTACCTCGGAGCGTGATCGAAGCCGAACACAGCCGGCAACTCCGCTGGTAATCGAGTTAAGTGCATTATTGTGCAAGATCAAGCCGTCAGAACGGTCCAAACGATGGCAAACCGAAAACGCTTTGGACGCGACGAAACGTCCTTCTTCTTAACCGTTCCGATCGCTTCCCGTTTCCATGGAAAATCGAATTTTCTATGCGCGTGTATGTCTGCGTTGCCTAGTCTGTTTTCCTTCGTTGAAATTCATCGCATAGAACCGAGCTCGAATCTTTATCCGATTCGCGAAGCCTCGCGTTGCGGACGAGCCTGAGCTCGAACGAAACTAGGTTAACTCGCGCGTACCACCCTCTTACACCGTTTATACCCAACTATACGTCTCTTCGCTCCACCCGTCACAATTTTTCCCCGCGTTTTCGAAGCGCCTCGGATTTATCTTTTTTCTCCTCTTTTTTTTTGTCACGCCTCTCCCCGATCGATACGTTAATTACCAATTACACTCTCGTATCAGGTTCGCTTCATAATTCTGTATTAACTCGAGCTTCGTTAATGGAAATCTACTTTACGCTTTTTTCTACACCGTATATATTAGACGCGACGAGGGAAATTGAAATAATTATCGGACGATTTGGCAGTCGAGACGCGTTGGGGCCGACGTCGGTTCGATCTTTCGCGGAGTTCGTCGTCGATTATTTATCGCCCTTTCGACAACGCGTCGTCTCGTCAGCGTAAAATCGAAAGCTTTTACGGGGCCGTGTTACGGCGCCAACCAACCGGATACGGGGAACGAGAGAGAAAAGCCTGCTCCTGATCCTCGAGGATCCCTAGCTCGCGCGCCTTCCGTCTGCCTTTTGTACGGGAGAAAAAGCGGAATTTCTAACGAGTCCTGTGTTTTCTTTCCGTTTCAGCCGATGCTACGAGATTGAGGCATTCCAGACACCTGGACGCGAGATCGCAGCTCTCGATCGACGAAGAATTAACGGTAAGTGCTTCTCGATTCCCTTCTTTATTACATTTTCTTTCGTTTTCCTCTCCGTGCTGAATCTTTCGTACGTTCTCGAACGGAAATTCAACTGAATCTTGATTGTACGGGTTGGCAGATGCAGCAGGGGGAAAATCACAATCACAAGCCGGTGTTTTCGAATTGTTCGAATTACGGGCCGGTTGTGAAGGAGGAGGAACCAGCGGGCACCGTGGTGATTCAAGTGCACGCGGAGGACAGGGACCATCCAGACGACGGAGGTAAGTCGATCGGCTCTGTCGTAAGCGTCAGAGTGTAGAACGTTTTCCCGTTCGCAGGTACGATCACGTACAGCTTCGTCACCGCTCCGGGTGAAAAGCTGAAATTCGAGATCAACAACAGGACCGGGTTGATCAGAACGACGCAGATGTTGGACAGGGACGAGCCAGCTCGAGAAAAGGAGGCTTACCTGACCGTGCTGGCGACCGACAATGGAAGACCTCAGCTCGACGACGTGTGCACGTTTAAAGTTACCATCGAGGACGTGAACGACAACTCGCCCGTTTTCGACAAAGTGGTACGTGTCTTTGGGAAAACGAATTTGAATCGAACGTTTTACGGGTCAATCGATTCGTCCATAGTTTCACGCGTACCGATCGCTAACGTCGAATCGCTTTCACGTGATTCCGCGTTGCTTACTTTATCGCCGCTCGAAATCACGAATAAAGGATTTCCAAGCGTGAATCCTCGAGGTCTCCTCGACGACCGCGAAAACCAATTTCTCCCGTATTTCGTCGCCTCGTAGGATGCATGCCTTGCCACCGGACCAATCGAATTTCCCCTAACGAACACTTTTTGCATCGTTCATCGATAAACGCGTACTTTCACCTTTTATCATACGACTGTGTCACACTAACCATCTTCTGCTTCGATTTCTTTCTTTTTTTTTTTCTCTCTCCTAAACTCAGGTCTTTCGTGGATACGTATGGAAGGTTGGTCTCGAATCTTTGCGGTGTAAAAGTTGTTTCAATGTTTGTCGTGGGTGGGAATGCTAAGAATGCGAATACGAATGCGAATGTATACTTGCGAATGCCAAGGAGGATGCATGTGTGTCATTTTTGTTTCACGATCGATCGCTTGCGCGAATTCGATCGGCAGGATCTAGCTAACCAAAATCGTGAACAAGCTTCGTTACAATTTCGGGTGGGGGAAATTGCGGGATCCTGTCGATCGTGCCTTCGCTGCTTTTTTCGTTGCATAGATATCAACGCATGCACACGTAGGTTTTCTTTAGAAAGAAAACAGAAACAGAAAAGAGACGCTATCAGAGAAGGAGGAATTGAAACGATATCGTTCCGAACGAAAGCAAATTTTGTTTGTTTTCCGGTCGATACGCGATGCTCGTTGCGTAGGCGTACACCGAGTCAGTACCGCAAGATTTACCTTTGGGACGGGAGGTGATGAGGGTCTCCGCCACGGATATCGACGACGGCAACAATTCGGTCGTCTACTACAGCCTGTCACCGAAAAGGGCGGAAGACGGCGTCTACTTCCGCATAGATCGCAACACTGGCGTGATATTTTTGAACAAAACCATCGACGTGAGTATCGCGGGTTCGAACTGTCTGGTTCGCGATAGACGATCAACAATCAACGGTTGCAACTTTTGCAGAGAAATCCGGACTACAAGTTTAGCATGACCGCCACGGCGGAAGACCAGGGTGGTGAAAGTCAAAAATCGAGCGTGATCGATCTGGACATTCGGGTGGTCGAGTCTCACAAGAAAGCTCCCGCTTTCTTGCCGAGACCTTCGGAACCGATCCGACTTCAGGAGAATTTTAGCGATTTTGACGCGAGCCTCGTGCGATTGAGAGCCGTTTCGAACAGCGGGGACAACAGCGGTGTTCTCTTCGAACTGGTACCAGGTAGAACGGAGCAAACCAACAAAGGAAACACGTTCAGGTATCCAGGGTGAATTCGTCGTTGCGACACTCCCGTCTTCCTTCTCGACGCAACGTTCTTTTCTTCTCGATAGATTGGAATCGACTAAGGACGTGGCCGACATCAAGCTCGCGCGGCGTCTCGACTACGAGAGCAACACGGTATACACGTTAATCGTGCGCGTTCAAAATAAATACCAATTGGCTGCCGAGACCGTGGTCGACATCGAGGTGTTGGATGTAAACGACAACATTCCGGTGTTTCGTGAAATGAAAAAAGGTAGCGTACTCGAGAACGAACCAGCCGGTGTACCCGTGATGCAAGTGCGAGCCATCGACGCCGATGGAACTTCTGCTCATAATCAGGTACCTTATTATCAGCTGACCTAATTATTTTCTACCTATAGTAAGATCGACTAATCTTACCGTTCCGTTTCGCAAAAGGTTACCTACGAACTGGACAATTTTCGCGACTTGTTCGCCATCGACAAGTACACCGGCAACATCACCACTTTAACCACCTTTGACAGAGAACAAGAGGACACGTACAACGTGAAGGTGATCGCGGTGGACAATTCTCCTAGCGCTCTCTTCAAAACCGGCGAGCACAACAAGGGCCAGCAGGTGTTTAGAATCGAGATCGCTGACAAAAACGACAACGCTCCTCATTTTACTCAAGCCGTTTACACGGCCAATTCGATCCTCGAGAACGCGAATATCAACGCTCCGGTCACGGAAGTGAAGGCTCTCGATTCCGACACCGCCAGCCCGGTTACCTACAGCATTATATACGGTAACACAGACGACAGTTTCTATATCGAGGACACCACCGGCAAGATTCGCGTGAAAAAACCTTTGGATTACGAAAAGATCACGGAATACAACTTGACCGTCAGAGCGTTCGACGGCGTGTACAACGACACTGCCCAAGTCAAGATTTTTATCGAGAACGTGAACGACAATCCACCGGTCTTCGAGGATTTCAACAAGAATCCGACGATCAAAGAAGAGACGCTGGTCGAAGGTAAGATCTCGACTCGAGAAAAACGTAGTTTTCAGATTTAAACGCGGCTAAACGACACTCGATACTTTACAGGATGCATCACCACCGTGGTTGCCTACGATCCTGACATAAAGGACAGAAACGCCGATCAGCACATTGCGTATTTCATCGTGAAAGAAGATCAACAACCTTTGATCGGTATCGATAAATCCGGCTGCATGACATTGAAGAAACCACTGGACCGAGACGCACCGTATGGTTATTCCATGTGGACCGTAAGTATCTTTCGAGGAATGAGGGTGGAAATCGGTAAGGAAGTATTCCAACGGGGATCGCGTTACATGTTTCAGGTAATCGTGATGGCGCGGGACGAAGACGGTTCTCCGACCGCATTGCGAGAATTGGTGATGGTGAACATCACGTTGATCGATATAAACGACAATGCACCGTTCCTCGATATGCCGTATCCGGTGGTTTGGGGCGAGAACAAACTGCCTGGAAAGATCACCGAATTAAAAGCTCGGGACTGGGACTCGGACGAGAACGGGCCTCCGTTTCATTTCCAGATCGACGAGAATACCGCCGACGAGTCGATTCTCGACAAGTTTGCGATTCGCGACGCCGATCTGTTTGCGCGGGTGAAGTTCGATCGCGAGGAACGAAAGAGTTACGATATCGCAATAGCGATCACGGACAGCGGTCAACCACCGATGACGGGAACATCAACGTTGACCGTGATAATCGGCGACGAGAACGACAACCCGATGTCCGAAGGTTCCAGCTCTATATTCGTGTACAACTACAAAGGGGAGGCGCCCGATACTGAGATCGGTCGGGTGTACGTAAACGACGCGGACGATTGGGACTTGCCTGACAAACATTTCGCTTGGGCCTCCGTCACGCCCGAAGGCTTTCGCTTAAACAAAGAAACCGGCATGATCACCTTGCTGTCTGGTGTGTCCAACGACACGTTCGTTTTGAAGTTTGTCGTGACCGAGCATAGTCTGCTTATCCCGCGACATCAAGTGAACGCTTACGTGAACGTTACCGTAAGAGAGCTGCCCGAAGAAGCAGTGTCCAGGTCCGGCTCGGTGCGTTTCTACGGAATGAACGCCGAGGAGTTTGTCGCTCCCGATGAATCCGGCGTCAGCAAGAAGGAGATATTCCAAGAGAGGATAGCAAACATGTTGAACACCTCGGTAGAGAACGTGGATGTGTTCACGGTGCTTCATTCTCCCCATCACAATGACAAGAATTTGCTGGACGTACGATTTTCGGCTCACGGTAGCCCCTATTACGCTCCCGAGAAACTGAACACGATATTAGCGCAACACACCAAAGAAATCGAGCGAGAGCTAAAGACCGACGTGTTACTGGTGAATATCGACGAGTGTCTCTTCGAGAAGCTGCATTGCAACAATTCTTGTCGCAGTTACTTGAACGTCAGCACGGAGCCGTACGCGGTTTACACGAACACCAGTTCGTTCGTCGGCGTACGAGCGATCGTGGACCCGCTTTGTACCTGTCACATAGCCGAGCCGTTAGTTTGCTTGAACGGAGGCACACCTCTTGCCGAACGTTGCGAATGTCCGCCAGGCCTCGAAGGACCCAGATGCGAGCTCCTCGGTATCGGTTTCCATGGCGACGGATGGGCCGTGATGCCGCCGCCTGGTCAAGCTTGCGACGATTCTCACTTAGGTCAGTTTTCGTCATTCTCCTTGCGCCTCTCTTTCTCCTCGTTCATCGTTCATTCAAAATCTTCGCACGATTTTTAGGTCTCGAGATAACGCCTCACGTGGACAACGGTCTGGTGTTTTACTTCGGCCCGATGACGTACAGTCCTAAAATTAAGATTCAGGATTTTATGGCCTTGGAGCTGCAACAGGGATACGCGGTTCTTTACGTGGATTACGGAACCGGCACCGCCAGGCTAGATCAGCGACAAATCAAACTCACCGATGGCAAAAGCCACAAGATTGACGTTTACTGGACGAAGAACGTAAGTGCCGTTTCGTTCGTTTCTTGGGATCGCTGTAAAAGGCAATGGATTCATCGTTTACTTTTCGTTCGTTTTACAGGCAATCGAGATGAAGGTGGATAATTGCGGCATCTCGGCTTGCATGAGTTTAACAGCACCGCAAGGGCCGAACGAATTTTTGAACGTAAACAGCCCGATGCAAGTCGGAGGGTCGTTGAGCAATTTGGCGCAGTTGCATTCGCAACTGGGTTGGGATTACAAGCCGACGGACAGGGGCTTTGTTGGTTGCATACGCAACATGACCTTTAATGGAAATGTAATTAAAAACGGTTAATGAATTAGTAGACGTGACAAGTGTCCTTGACGGACGAAACTAATCGATTCTCCCGTGTTTCAGACTTACAACTTGGGAATGCCGTCGTTATCTAGAAACGCGGATCCTGGCTGCGATCACGGAATGGCCAAGGCCGTTTCCTTTGGAATCGATACTAACTTTCTGGTGGCGATACTGGTTTGCGTAGCGATATTGTTGATACTTTTGCTAGCGGTGGTGGTGCACAGGCGAAAGACCGACGACTTGTACAAGGACATGGACGATATCAGAGAAAATATTATTAATTACGAGGACGAAGGAGGCGGCGAGGTTGACACCGGCTATGACTTGAACGTTCTGCGTACTATTTACGACCCGCCTATCGATTCGAAAATAGCACCTGTTGGTTTGCAAACTAGAGGTGAGAGGAATGCAAGGGTGGCGACGCAACAAAATCATCTATACGTATATCTTTCTTACTTACTTTCTCCCTTATTCCTCTTCATTAAAGCGCCCGATGAAGTACCAGATATTTGCGGTTTCCTGGACGGCAAAAAGGAGAGCTGTGACAAGGATCCTGACACGAATCCGTTTGACGATGTCAGACACTACGCGTACGAGGGTGAAGGCAATTCCGAGGGTTCCTTGTCGTCTTTAGCTTCGTGTACGTAGACAAGCTGCTCAGCAACGATCAACCTGTAATCGTCGTATAATCGGTTAATTAAACGTTTTACAATGTTTGACCCGCAGGTACCGACGATGGAGATCTCAAGTTCAACTATTTGTCTCACTTTGGTCCGAGATTCCGAAAGTTGGCCGACATGTACGGGGAAGAGCCTAGCGACGAGGAGAGCGACGGTGTAGGAGAACGGGAGAGCGAGAGTTGGTGTTGAACTTTCCAGGGCCTCTTCTAGTGTTCGATTCGAATCGTTCGCGTTTGCATTCGTGGCAATGCGTTTACCTTGCGCGCGATACCTATCATCGCCATTCACTCTCTTTGACGAAGCAACGACGAAACGGCGCTTCGCAGCCTCGTGTACTTAAAACCGAATCCGAGAGTACGTTTTGTTGATTCTTGTCCTGGCTTCTGCACCTAGAAAGAAAGAAGACAACAAGAAGCAAAAGAGTTTTGTGTAACTATCGGCGTAGCGTGTGAAGCGCGTGCCGATACGCGACATAAGTTAATATTGTTATTTTTTATTTCGACAGAGCTTAACGGGAACGTCGTGTATTTCTCTCCTGTTTTCTTTTCTTTTCCTTTTTCATTTTTTATTTTATTTTATTTTTTTTTTTTTATCTGTTACGGCGCGCAGGAAAACGTGGTTCTTTCGTGGACGATTCCCCGAGAGGGCGATATTTTTTTTCCTTCTTTTTTTCATTTTTTTGGCGTTCATGTCGAAACGAGGAAAAATAGAAAAGAAAAGAAACGAACAATAGACTAATCAACTTTTATTTTGTTATTCTTTTTTGCGAGATTATCGAATAGACATAGAAGCTACGCATTATCATTGACATTGATCGAAAACGCGTCGGCCGAGTAAACTGATTCGCGTTTAAGCGATTCGACTCGGTCGTCTAGTAAATCACCATTCATTTCAAGCACGAAACTACGAAATTTCTGACGCAGAAATTTTCGCAGAAATCGAAGCAAGAGCGTTTGTAAGTTGTGGCAATCATTCGAATTATTATAAAAGTCTGTGGGCTATTTTTTTATACGTACATTATAGATGGTATACAAGTATATACAAGTATACGTACATGCGGGCGCGATTCGCTACATGTACGGATAAATGTGTAGATAAGAGATGCGGCACATCGCTCCACTATTTAACTTATAGATAGTATTTTATTAATTGGATATACGTGAGTGAGAAATCGTGTAGAGGGTGTGCGAAACTACATACGCGAACACGTGCATAAAATAATATAGATATAAATATTAAATACTAAATATATACCGTACACAGGTGTGTGTCTGCGTATGTATGTGGGTGCGTGATTAGGTGAGAGGAGTAAGAAGAGGAAGGAATTGAGATACCGTTCTCGTTTCCGCACGTAACAGATTCCCAAACGCAAAAATTTCCCGTTGCGATCGAGGGAAAAAATATCGACGAGAAGAGATCGAGTGCCATATCGTGCATCCGATGTTGATCAGCGTTATGTTCGCGTTAAGTTTGCGATCGATGTACACAAAAGGCAGCCGTCGTAGCGTCTTCGAACTCAGCCTATGTACGCGTGCACGCACGTACGTACACGTATATATGTGATAATAATTTGTAAGCTTTTTGTACGATAAATCAACGACGATATGTATGTGTATAATAAGGATACATTGAACGCATCGTTGACGAGATTGGGCCACGTCGGCGGTTTCGAAATTCGACACACCGGACGCGGTCCGTTCGACATCGGTGCGTCACGGGAGAGCCAAGGTGTAATTTATACGAAATAAGAGTGCAGCTTAAGCGAAGCGTGGTGTGATCTCAGAGGATTCGTAAGTGAATGAATCGTGCGTATCGATATCCATCGATTCTGAAACGAAAAACTCAACACCCGGTCACTTGGACGTTTGCCATCGAACAACAAAGAATCACGTGAACAGTATCGGATATATTCTTGCTCGAGTCGATTGTCCCAACTGACCGTCTCTCTTTCTCTTAACGATAGAACACGCCGCAGTACAAAAAGGAAGAAACGCGCCCACACGATCTCGATGAAATCGCGTCGAAGGATACGCTACGAACAGAGTCGTTCGCCCACACTTTTATTCGAACACTGCCCTTTACGTATTAGATAAGAAGACTTTATCAACGTATTTTCTCGAACAAACGAGAAAGGGATGAGTAAATAAATAAATAAAGGAAAAAAGGAGGAATACGATTGATTACGAAAAAAAGAAAGAAAAGAATAGCACGAAGGAACTTTAGACAGCGATGTGTATTCGTACACTGGCTTCTTGTACATTACCCATGGGTGCGCGAAATGAATGTTTTCGCGCAACCTATTCAACATGTGATAGTCGATCGCAAAGCATATGTGCACACCTTTGGTTCTTTACCCGCGATCCATCTATTGTCATCAAAGATACGTGTAATTTCATTTCCCTTTTTTGGAGTGTAGGAGAGAAAAAGGCATTTCACGTCTCGGGATTGTCTGTCAGACTCGTCAGTGAGGCTGACAACAGACGATCCCTGCCCCAGACACCTATCGTACCGCTATTCGGAACTTATATACAGGGTGTTCGACAACAGGTGGGCAAAATTTTAAGGGGTGATTCTAGGGATCAAAATAAGACGAAAATCAAGAATAACGAAATAGCGTTTGCGGCTTTGTTTTCCAATAATTAACGTTCAAAAATTCAAGTAAATGGCGCCTGAAACCTGCAATCCTCCCAGCACCGACGACTGAACGTCAGGTTAGCAGGGGTCGGTACAGTCATAACCAAGAATCGAAGTCGAATGCTGCAGTACCGAGAAACATAATAACACGAGGAGAGTTTCTACTAATCAACGATTCTTGGTTATGATTGTACTAACCCCTGCCGACCTGACGTTCAGTCGTCGGTGCTGGGCGGGTTGCAGGTTTCAGGCGCATTTTATTCGAATTTTTAAACGTTAATTACTGGAAAATAAAACCGCAAACGGTATTTTGTTATTCTTGATTTTTGTTTTATTTTGATCCCTAGAATCACCCCTTAAAATTTTGCCCACCTGTTGTCGAACAACTTGTACATCCGAACGGCATGCCGGGCGAGCGCTTGTGAGAGGCTCCGTTCAATCTCGCCGCCAGCTAGCGCTCACCGGCCCGAACTCAAGGCGTCCGGGAAGACGAAACTCTCTCCTCTCCCATAAACGCTTACAGCTCGGCCATACCTGACAGTTGTGACCGTCCTCGGTCATGCATAGGAATAAACCCGAGGAACGAGTCACCAAATTCATCTAAATCTCAAATCAACAACAAATCACAAATATGTCTCGGATTTTCTTAATTTCGGAATCCCTATCTTGACATATTGAGAGCGTCTGCTCAAAAGTACTTCCCTCAACTACTAAAATAGTATGGCAACGACTGACAAGGGGAACTACCCGAGTGTTACACTCACTTATTAATGAAACTTTGCCAGCTTGTAGAGCTGGTCGAGCTGAACACGCCTATACCCCGTTTTGTGGGCAGACGACTAATTGTTTAAAAGATATTAATAATTAAAGTTAATTACTACTTACATTGACAAGTATGACAGACTCACACATACAACTCGCAATCTAGAGATCTACGGTTCAAATCCTTGATTCCCAAGATTTTTTTTTTTTTTAAATGATAATTTGTCTCTTTTTGAATAACTATTACATAAAAATTATCATAAAAAAAAAAACTTGTTGGGAACCAAGAATTTGAACCGAGGACCTTTATATCGCAAGTCACGGATTTGCTTCGTGGTTAAACACATGACTCGTAATCTAAAGGTCCTCAGTTTAAATCCTGGGTTCCCGTTTTTTTTTTTTTTTTTTTTTTTTTCTTTAATGATAACTTTTATGGAATAGTTACTCAACAAGAGACAACTCATCGTCACAAAAAAAAAATGTTGGGAACCAAGGATTTGAACCGTGGATCTCTAGATTGCGAATTGTATGTGTGAGTTTGTCATACTTCAGAATGTAAGGAGTAACTAACTGTAATTGTTAATATCTTTTAAACAATTAGCCGTCTGCCCCCAAAAGGGGGTATAGGCGTGTTCAGCTCGACCAGCTCTACAAGCTGGCAAAGTTTCATTAATAAGTGAGTGTAACACTTGGGTGGTTCTCCTTGTGAGTTCATCGATGAGATTCATTCTTTTCCCCGGTCTGTGTTGAATTTCATAATCAAAATCTTGCAAATATAAGGCCCAACGAGATATTCGCGGATTATCATTTTGTTTGCTCAGTGTCAAACGAAAGCTATCACAATCGGTCAGTATTCTGAAATGTATACCCTCAAGATAAATTCTAAAACGTTTAATCGCTTAACAACTGCAAGACATTCCAACTCAAAACTCTGATATTTGGCCTCTGTCGGTGTCGTTCGTTGACTATAATAGGCAATAGGCCTCAGACATCTATCTACTTGTCTTTGTAGTAAAATTGCACCGAATCTCGACGCGCTCGCATCGCAATGTAATTCGGTTTCGGTTGTGGGGGAATAAATGGAAAGAATCGGTTTGTTTGCTAAATGCCTTTTCAGCATTTCAAACGCCTCGTTTTCTTTTTCCCCAAATACAAATTTAACCTCTTTCCTAACCAGATCGTATAATGGTTTGGCAACGATGGAAAATCCGGGTATAAATCGTCGAAAATAGCTGGCCAGAGACACAAAGCGTAAAACATCCTTGGAGTTACGCGGAATCGGGTACCTGAGGACGGCTTCAATATTCTCGTTGCTAGGTCGAATTCCCTCAAAACTAACGCGGTACCCTAAATAAGTGATCTCTGATTGCACAAAGGCACATTTATTCAATTTAAACGTTAGCTGATACCGCCCTGCCCTTTATTACACCGACGGGGTGCCGATGCACTTTATCACGACCACGGTGTGAACCCAGAGCATACCCAACACTCTTGCAGTTCGGCCCGCACTGAAGGCGCGCTCTGATTGGCCAGTGTTTTTCATTAATAACTCGGAAACGAAGCCTTAACCAACATTTTGGCAAAGGAAAAAGTTGTTTAGAATGGCCTCAGCAATCATCCCTACACGGGTCCTATCCCAGTTCTGGGACACCCTGTATATCCGAACGGCATACCGGGCGAGCACTTGTGAAAGGCTCCGTTCAATCGCGCCGCCATCTAGCGCTCCCCGGCCCGAACTCAAGGCGTCCGTGGAGACGATACTCTCTCCCCTCCACTAAACGCCTACAGTAGCAATAAAGAGTAAACTACGAATAAAACGAACAAAGAAAATGAATTATTTACCCCTGTGACATTTACCACGGCTAAACTAGAAACGCTTTTAATTAACCGAATTCGTCACGGGCTTCGCGCTATCGTTCAACGAGAAAGAAACCCTTCGATATTTCCGTTTCGAAATACTCGAAGCCAGAAACGTAGCCGCGACGTTCGTCCTCGAGAATTCCCGTCAGGACGAACGAGCCTGTGACACGAAATTTTTAAATAGCCAATGACTTATGTCTCGCTAATACTTGGATCGTTTACGTTTATCGCAATCATTGAAAAGGCAAAAATATGTTGACGATAATCGTCGATTCGACGGGACGCGACGGTTCGAACCAGAACCGAGTATTTCGCAAAGATCGAGGGCTGTTGGCAGACACCGGCGCGTCACGGCGCCGATCTCGAGCGCCGGCAGGAGTCTTGAGAAGGGGTGGTAAAACTATAAAACTGCCCCCGGTGTCGCTGGTTGTTCGCAAACGCGTCCACCCTGCGTACGAAGATCCGACGATCCGAGTTTTAATTGTATCCTCGCGAAAAGGAAAGTCGCAAGTAAAGTTTGTTTCCCGAATCGTATCGTTAGAAACTCGCGGACATGTAAGTGTTTCCGCGTCTGCTTCTCGAGCCCGTGAAAATGCAAACGAGTTGTTTAAATTCCTTCTTTTTTTTTCCTCGTAGGTATCGAAAGATTCAATTGAGTTTCCTCGCGATAGTATTCTTGTTATGCTTGAGTTTCGAGCTTGGCGCGGATGCTCAGCTAAACTTTTCTACCGGCTGGGGAAAGAGAAGCCAGAGGGTTAGTGGCTTCGAGCGGGCTAACGGCGAGTGCATTTTCCAGGCTAAACCCTCGTTGGAACAGCTGCTAATCGTCTATAATATTATACAGGTAAGATAGTTGGTTTTTTCACTCTTTATTCGGAGAAAGGAGGAAAAGTACTGACGGGTACTGACCGAGAGCGTTTGGTGCATTTACCGGTTGCAGACGGAAGCGAGGAAAATGATGGATTGTCGAAAGCTATACGAATGAATCCGAGAGGATCGATCGGACTTAGCGGATTTAGACATCTTAGACATTGGACTGTACTCGAGAGACTCGTTCGAACAAATTACCAACGATCGTTACTTAGTCTTCTCTGTGAGTTTCGCTGGATCGTGATTCAAGTATAATAAATAACGTTCCACGGAGCCACGTGTTTTTCCGGCTACAATTCAACGTGTGACGCTCGTTTCTTCATAACCTTCTCGAGCCCGTTTCAACGTACCTTGTACACAATTTACGACACGAACGATAATACAAACAATGAGTAGTAAAAGAGAAATATCATTTTCTTTCACGTCCACGCACGCTCTCCTTCTCCCCTTGTCCGCGCCTCGATCGTAATCACTCGGCCAATTCTGCGTCTACGTATATCGTCTAATTTTCAATTAATTTCCATTGTACCCGTTTTAACGACCGCACCAAGACTATATGTATCTCGAAACTCGAAGCGTTCCTGCGAATTCGAGTTATACACGACGCCAACCAACGTTCGCGGTTCTACAATTTTTCAAAGTAGGTATCTCACCCGTGAAGATGCACTTGATTCTCTGTACCTTAAGCGTTTTCACGGTGTTCGCTTACGCCGATCCTCGCCTAGGACATCTGAAGCATGTGGTCGGTAATGGTAAGACGGTTGACTCGTTCCAGAGTCCATCCAAACGCGATCTCCACGAACAACTGGTAACATTTCTTTCTAGCTTTACAAGCGCTTCCGAAAAAACTGCCGAACTCGACCTCGGTGCCGTTTTGGCAATACTCAGAAGTGGATCAGTTCTTGTGCCAAAACGCGGGGTATTTCCCGAACGTTTGGAACTGCAAGTACTATTACCAGTGTGTCATCTACCTGCCTGGCCATCTAGTTCGATACATTTATGAGTGCAACGACGATCTCGTGTACTCTGATAGGGATCAAAGCTGCGTTATACCTAGCGAAGAAGAGAGAGCAAAATGCATTGCACAGATCGAGATGGATCAAGGTAAATCGTACTTTCGAAGCTCAAGCTTCGTTGTTTCTAGCTGTCGATCGCGACGAAACAGCTACTTGTGTGTTTTGCAGACGATAGGTCCCACCAGCATATTCGACTAGAGTCGATTGAGGATACCGATGTATCACTGCTTACCGACCATCCGTTCATTATCGACACCACCTACGATAAACACCTAGCCAAAACAACCACGAATACGTCGGACTTCGCGGAAGGATTGGCCAAAATCGATGCTAACAACATTACTTCTATTAACATTACGGGCAAGATGCACTACACCAACAAAGATAAATATTTCGACAAAGGGACGAATTACGACGCAATGACGAAGATCATCAAAGGTCCTGCGGAATCTGAAGCCAATAAAACTGCGAAGCCACACTACACCCACAAACATAAACTCCATTTCGACAAAGGGACGAAATACGACGCAATGACGCGGATCATCAAAGGTCCTGCGGAATCTGAAGCCAATAAAACTGCGAAGAGCGTTGAAAAACTAATGAAACTTAATGCGACTGCAACTGCAACAACCGTCCAAGACTCCGTCCAAAATTTAACAAAACCAGAAGCGAACAAAATTACAAGTATCAGTCCAAGTTCTAAGGGACCTGCAACGACCGAAATTACAAAAACCGCCAAAGATTCTACGGAACGAGAAAAGATCGCAATTACAACTATCCCAGATTCTGAGGAACCTGACATCATCGTAATTACGGACTCCGCCGAAGATTCTACGGATCAAGGATCGATCAAAATTATAACTATCCCAGATTCTGAGGAATCTGATTCGATCGAAATTACGAGAACCACCTCAGATTCCATAAGAACTGAAACGATCGAAGGTACCACCATCCCAAGTTCTACGTCACCTAAAGCTTCTAAAATTACGAAAACCGCCAAAGATTCTACGGAACAAGAAAAGATCGGAATTACAACTATCCCAGATTCTGAGGAATCTGACATCATCGTAATTACGGACTCCGCCGAAGATTCTACGGATCAAGGATCGATCAAAATTATAACTATCCCAGATTCTGAGGAATCTGATTCGATCGAAATTACGGGAACCACCTCAGATTCCATAAGAACTGTAATGATCGAAGGTACAACCATCCCAAGTTCTACGTCACCTAAAGCTTCTAAAATTACGAAAACCGCCAAAGATTCTACGGAACAAGAAAAGATCGGAATTACAACTATCCCAGATTCTGAGGAATCTGACATCATCGTAATTACGGACTCCGCCGAAGATTCTACGGATCAAGGATCGATCAAAATTATAACTATCCCAGATTCTGAGGAATCTGATTCGATCGAAATTACGAGAACCACCTCAGATTCCATAAGAACTGAAGCGATCGAAGGTACAACCATCCCAAGTTCTACGTCACCTAAAGCTTCTAAAATTACGAAAACCGCCAAAGATTCTACGGAACAAGAAAAGATCGGAATTTCAACTATCCCAGATTCTGAGGAATCTGACATCATCGTAATTACGGACTCCGCCGAAGATTCTACGGATCAAGGATCGATCAAAATTATAACTATCCCAGATTCTGAGGAATCTGATTCGATCGAAATTACGAGAACCACCTCAGATTCCATAAGAACTGAAACGATCGAAGGTACAACCATCCCAAGTTCTACGTCACCTAAAGCTTCTAAAATTACGAAAACCGCCAAAGATTCTACGGAACAAGAAAAGATCGCAATTTCAACTATCCCAGATTCTGAGGAATCTGACATCATCGTAATTACGGACTCCGCCGAAGATTCTACGGATCAAGGATCGATCAAAATTATAACTATCCCAGATTCTGAGGAATCTGATTCGATCGAAATTACGAGAACCACCTCAGATTCCATAAGAACTGAAACGATCGAAGGTACAACCATCCCAAGTTCTACGTCACCTAAAGCTTCTAAAATTACGAAAACCGCCAAAGATTCTACGGAACAAGAAAAGATCGGAATTACAACTATCCCAGATTCTGAGGAATCTGACATCATCGTAATTACGGACTCCGCCGAAGATTCTACGGATCAAGGATCGATCAAAATTATAACTATCCCAGATTCTGAGGAATCTGATTCGATCGAAATTACGAGAACCACCTCAGATTCCATAAGAACTGAAACGATCGAAGGTACAACCATCCCAAGTTCTACGTCACCTAAAGCTTCTAAAATTACGAAAACCGCCAAAGATTCTACGGAACAAGAAAAGATCGGAATTACAACTATCCCAGATTCTGAGGAATCTGACATCATCGTAATTACGGACTCCGCCGAAGATTCTACGGATCAAGGATCGATCAAAATTATAACTATCCCAGATTCTGAGGAATCTGATTCGATCGAAATTACGAGAACCACCTCAGATTCCATAAGAACTGAAACGATCGAAGGTACAACCATCCCAAGTTCTACGTCACCTAAAGCTTCTAAAATTACGAAAACCGCCAAAGATTCTACGGAACGAGAAAAGATCGCAATTACAACTATTCCAGATTCTGAGGAACCTGACATCATCGTAATTACAGACTCCGCCGAAGATTCTACGGATCAAGGATCGATCAAAATTATAACTATCCCAGATTCTGAGGAATCTGATTCGATCGAAATTACGGGAACCACCTCAGATTCCATAAGAACTGTAATGATCGAAGGTACAACCATCCCAAGTTCCACGTCACCTAAAGCTTCTGAAATTACGAAACCCGCCAAAGAGTCTACGGATCAAGAATCAATCAAAATTATAACTATCCCAGGTTCTGAGCAACCTGACATCATCTTAATTACGGACTCCGCCAAAAATTCTGCGCATCATGAATTGATCGAAAATGCAACTTTCCCAAGTTTTGAGGAACCTGACATCATCGTAATTACGGACACCGCCGAAGATTCTGCGGATCAAGAATCGATCAAAATTATAACTATCCCAGATTCTGAGGAATCTGATTCGATCGAAATTACGAGAACCACCTCAGATTCTATGAAAACTAAAGCGATGGAAGTTAAAACCGTCCCAATTTGTATGACACCTAAAGAGATCGCAATTACTAAAGTCGACTCTGAGCAGTCGGAGTGCTTTGTCGAAGCTTTCTTCGGCGATTCCGAAAACTGTTCAAGGTTCTATCGATGTGTTCACTTCGGGGTCAAATTTATGAAGTACGAATTTTTCTGTCCGCATGGAACTATTTGGGACGATGATCTGAAAACTTGCAACTTCCGAGCGGCAGTCAAGAAAATAAACTGCAAAGACAGTCACAAGTATCCGCTCTTTCCATTTGCCGAACAGAAGGCTGTGAATCCTGCCGATTACTTGACGAATCGAGTAGCTTTTATTTGTCCGATCGGTTTTCGGCAACATCCAAATTATTGCAACGCTTTTTACCAATGCACCGTCAACGAGAACCTCGAGTACGATTTAACGGTATTCCTGTGTCCCAATGGCTCGATATTTGACCAGAGAAACATCCGATGCTCGAGAGATCTATCGATCCGACGAAATTCATGCGTAAATCTTGGAATCGCAGAGAAAAAGCTCTCTTCGCGAATCGTAAGTAGCACCTTTGACCAAAGATATGCGTCGTCGCGTTTTTACTTATTTTTTCTAATCATCGCTGTTTTCTTTATTTTTTTACAGCTGAAACACTCAGAGATTAAAATGTGCCCAACGGAGGGTCGATTTCAGTACGGAGGAAACTGTACCAGCAAGTACTTGCATTGCAAACGCGACCAATTTGGAATGCTCGAAGGTTATTTGTTCCTTTGTCCACGAGGACAGCTGTTCTCTCCAACTGAGAAGAAATGCGTATCTTCAACACTTTTCCCTCTTTGCAAAAATATTAATACACCTTTTTCTAGCAAATCTTATTTATTGTAATCGTATACTAGTGATATTATAACGAAGTAATATTAAAAAGGAATTACTACGACGGCAATGTTGCAATTAAAATTTTTTTTCAAATACTGCCGCTATTCGTTAATATCGAACGAGTCGTTCGATGTATCGAATCCTCCGACTATCATTCGATACCTCGAAACGTTCGAGAAATCGATATATCGAATGCATTCATTTAAAGGTTTTTCAGGGTATCGATATCGTGAGCCTGCATCAGGGCTACACGGTTTTGAATATATTTTTCGATTAACTTTGATGCGATAGCTGTGAGATAAGGAAACTGAATCGTCGTGTGTGAAATGAAAATGAAGCAGGAAATTTGCTGAAGAACCGAACGAAATGAGCGCGGAAAACAACATTCTCTGAATCGTTCAATATCGCACGGAGTACAACCTAACCTATAAAACGGTTTCTTGAATTTGCGGTTCACATTTTTAGGAGAATCCACGAAACAGTTGGGAACAGTCACATTGTTTATGCAGTATCCACCTTAGAAGAAGACTAACAATGTACGTGGTGCAATTATCTGGTTTGTTATCGAAGCAGTTCAATACAAATTACGTTCGAAACGGAACCAGGTTAGCTTCCACTTTTGGGCGGCACGAAAATTATGGAAGATTTCGCGAATACCGGAAAAGGATAGCCGTTTGGTTAAAACAACAAAGTGGCCAAGTAGCCGAAGCTTGTGCCAGACAGTTCGAATTTATCGCGGCACAGCGTGTCAGAAGAAGCATGCAAATATTTCATCTGTACACGCGAATGTGGGACGAGGCAGCGCTCAAAGAGTTTATGAAATCATGGAGAAATCGTACGTTGAGAAATACCAGGCATTTTTTAATGAGTAGTATCGGAGTAACGATGTACAATTGGGATCGCGAACGAATCAGCGAAGAAGAGTTAAATAGGTAAGCGATTACTCGTCGTTGTAATCGTCGTTGTCGTCGTCGTCTCTTTTCATCGTTCGTTCTTTCCTTAGTTTCCACGCTCTAACTGGTTTTGTTGTCAGTTACAAGCAGGAAATCGAAGGGATTCACAGATTAAGGGACTCGACGGTGATTTGCGCGATATGCCATCAAAGGATCGTCATTGATGTCCGACAACCTGGTATAAAATATTGTACATGCTACGGCAATAAGTTTAGCGCCACAGCCAACGAAGGCCGTAAGTAAAAACTTGTCAAACTTTACCCCTTATTTGTCTGGCGAAACGATTTATCTGACAGCGATTTTTCTGTTAATTTTAGCACAAGGATGGAGACCGTATATAGAACGAGAAGACATGCTCATCTGGAGGAGGGAAGAGCCAAATTTTGGAGGATTGTTCGCGTACAAGGTGTACGGTTCGTTCGACGACGTTACCGCGGAAGATTTTTTACAAACCCAAATAGACGTCGATTATAGAATGAATTGGGATTCAAGCGCTCGTGAACTACAGATAATCGATACAGATCCGAAATCGCAAACGTCCTCCGAAGACAGTACCGACGTGATCTATTGGGAGACGATATGGCCTGTACGCAGTAATCGGTCGTTTCTTTGGCATACTCGAAACGAATGCTCCCATCTATGATACATTAACATTTTATACCGTGATTTTAGAAATTGTTTGCAAACAGGGATTACGTGTATCAACGACGGTGGGTGGTGGATAAGGAGAAACGGTTGATCATAATCATCAATAAAGTAACCGAACATCCTAACGCGCCTACGAAACCGGGTGTATACAGGTATGATGAAAATACTTTATAGCGTTCGTTGGATCGTTAGAACAATGCAGACGATATATATGTGTTGTTTCTAGTTTGATATTTCATTATGAAATCGGCTAGATTCAGCTTTGCTATTGAATAATTTCAATTCTGTGTACGTAACAGAGTGACAACGTATTGGTCGTACATGGTGATAAGGCCATACACAGAATTTCACCAGCCTGGCATTGAATTTGGATTAACTTATTTCGATGATCCAGGTGTAAATATTCCATCAGCGGTTACCTCGTGGGTCGCAATGTCAGGTATATATTCTATTTCAACGGAAACACATGTTTATCGTCTCGTGCAAATTTTTACGTATGCGTTATCTTTATAATTCCATAGGACTGCCAAACTTTTTAATTCGCATGAGACACGCGGCAAAGAATTATCAGAGTTACAAACGCACGAAAGAAATTGCTGATCCGTCCACTACCAATTACGCCTCTTTCCAAGACGAGGATGCGTCCGGGTACGAGGTCATACCTAATAATAACGATACAGAAACTTTGGAAAAGAGCGAAGCATCGAACGAGGAGGTAGCGGAGGAAAGCAATTTCGATACAAGAAGCGAAACGTTGACGTTTACGGGCGACCAACGGGATGAAAATGATAGACCAAGCAACGAAAGAACAGACAGCACAACTAATTTGCCCGATGAACGCAGAGGTTTACTACGTTATTTGCAGTATATTTGAAATAACGAAATTGGTGTTGACTGATAAAAAGATTTTTAACGTGACTTTGTGCAGGAAGTACGGTAACGTAACGATCGCAATGTAAAGATAAAGAGAATATTTCTAAATAAGAGGACATACCGGAGATAACGTTGAATCGAATGCAGTTGGGACGATGAATCGTGAAAAAGTACTGTATCGTTTCTTGCTCCGTGCACTGCCTTCTGCATAATATAACAAACACGAGACTGACTTATTTTTATAATCCATCTTTCCTATGTTGTTTATTCTCGAATGAAGGGTGAGACACGAAAAAAAAAGAATCCAGAGACGTTCCGAGCTGGAGAAAATTGTAAGGTAATTCGTATTTACGCAACGCGATGTTCTCGTATACGTCAGTACATCGTAACGATCGAAATGTTTCATTACATCTGTGTACATGCAATTGTAGTATAAATATAAGTAGATGTAAAAAAAACATGAAAATAATTGGTTTTCTACTTGGGTATGTATTCGATTTTGTTTCATACTTGTTAGGGATCGCATTTATCGACCGATAATTCGGGCCCACGCTATGCACTCGCTTATCAGTCGTCCCCACCACTTCTCTCTCTCTTCGCCTCTAGAAAATGGCTGTTTGACACTTGCTCGACACTTAATGACGAGAACGAAGAATTAGAAATCGATTGCGCTAAAATCTAAAAAAACTGGAAAGAGAGAGAGCTACGGTGCTGGAGACGCTGAAGAACGAACTTTAAAACTAAAACTTTGGCTCAAAATATAACTACAAGTTATACTTAAAAATTGGAAGCTTCATTTATGACGTCAGCTTTTTCAAAAATTCAACTTCAAACATTGGTCCTTTGAGGCGGATTTACACATAACAAATATCGAGGTGAGTGAAGCCTTTCAAAAATTTAATTACAATCTCAATTACAATCGCCTTGAAATTAATTGGATTGACACTTAAAATCAACGGTCGTCCTTGACCCAGAGCACAGATAGAAACACCTGGTTTGAACTCGTCGCTCACCTGTATAGATTCTCTGCTCTAAAACAATGGAGAAGTTGGTTACTAAACAGCTCGACCTGATCGAACGTATTTCATCAACGACTGAGACCATGGGTGCGGCTGTGATAACGACAGGAGAGGTTAAAGCTCGCTTGAAGCTCTTGGAAAGAAATTGGAATACGTTTTGCAAGACGCACGACCAACTCCTCGTTTTCTTAGCAACCGACGGGAATAATCCTTACTTTAAACAAAACTGCATGAGTATGTGTCAAGAGAATTATGTACGACAAAAGGCAGTACTAATGGACCTTATGGAGAAAAAGCTGGACAAAACTTCCTCAGGTAAGACGAAACCGTCTCCTGGAACTTCGTCGCGTCGGTCTTTACCTAAAGAAACGTTGCCTACCTGTTCGGGCAATTACGCGCTGATTGACGCGCAATTGGAATCCTTGATGGCGCTCAAGCCGATAAAGAAGGTATCGTTGACATCCCTGAAGCGGCTTCTTAAGGGCACCACGGATGCAGTCAAGGAATTGAAAGCCTTGAAGCGACCAGTCCAATACTGGGATGACTGGCTCGTATTCATAACAGTCGACAGACTGGATCCTAAAACAAGAAAGGAATGGGAAATATCCATCGCATCAACTTCAGGTGTTCCAACGTTCGCACAACTGACGACCTTTCTCACCTCACGACTGCGAACCCTGGAAGCTAAGAACGTAGTCTTGAAACAAAGGAGGACGCCCGTTAAGGCGCCGAGGAAGAACCACGCCAATGTTTCCTTCACCGCCACATCTTCAGGCGATATATTCTTAAATTGGTAAATGGAAAGCTACTTTGTAGTAAATGCATGTTCACAGTTAACAAGTGGTAAGAAACCTACTGTTAACAAAGGCAAACTGGATATTTATTACTATCTAGCAAAATACAACTACGAGTTTCAAGACTGGAAGCTTTTTCAAAAACTCAACTTCAAACAATAGGTACACGCATACATAAGAGAAACAGAGAAAACATAAATAATCTGCATAAAAACATAACACGTCATGTTCTTTGCTCCTTAAATGTTAAAAGCATGTGGATATTTTGTATTTAACGTGACGCGAAAAGATACTGTGGAAACAAAACCATGTATCATGTACCTGATATTGTCCTTTGGTTTGAAACTTTGTTCTCTTTTATACATTGTTACCATTTAACCAAATTAATGTTTGTTATTTCTACCTCAATAAAATAAAACTTTTAATTCCAAAGAGTTTCATTTCCTGTGGTACGTCCGTCAGTTTTTCTACGTTATCTATATTCCAACGAGACGAGACAGGAAATGCGTACAAATTCACGTGCTCGAAGCAGGGTCGGCTCACAGTAGAGAAACCTCGGCCGAAATGTTTGAAGAATTGGAAACAACTGAGCTCGGCCCTGCGTCGAGCACGTGAATTTGTAAACATATCTTGACTCGTCTCGTTGAACGGATTATACATATAAAACGAATGGTGAAAGGTGTTTTACTTTTTCCAAAATTTGTTAAAATATATGTACAATCGTTTGAAACGACCGGATTTCAGTATTTTCCCTTTGTATTTGACCCGTGTAGCGTAAAATGTGCACCAGTACCTCTTACCGGTGTCTCCTTTGTAAAAAAAAAATAGAAATCGTTAATCAATTCCCTATAACTACAGCTCTACAAAAGCGAGCGTTAGAAAAGAAGAATCGGTCGGAAGCGTCTCGTGATAAGTTTATCATTGATTTTCGAAGAATCGCGAAACGTCGTTTCTATTAGATGTAATTAAATGGGTTGCACGTTTTAGATGCGTATTAAAATATCGTTGTTCCGACTAGGTACGTAGAGAAGGAGCTGCCAGCGGAAACGGAACGCAGGGTGCGCTCCCGCAATTTTTCAAACGGCGCGATTTCGAGTTTCGCGAGAAACAGCGGGTCGATGGCGAGGAGTAAGGACCGACGTCGAATGGAAAACGGCGACGTGTTCGAGACGAGACAAAGTTGAGAGTCGAACGGAAGGAGGAAGCCACGAGGGTGTCCCGTTTGAAAAGAGCGGCGGCAAGTTGCACGCGCGAGAAACGAATAACGTTTGGATGACACGCATATTATCCAAAGCCCGTGAAGAACAAGCGGTAGGCGGACGAATACAACGAACGAACCTTTCGATTAGGTATTATCAATCGACGCGATAGAAAATGAGCGATAACGCGAGACAAGCCAACGGCACGTCTACTTACGCGTCCACGAGTAGGTAATGCGGTTCAAGTCAGTAGCGTAGCTATCCGATCTCGCGATGCGTCGCGATTCTTCCGTTTCCTTTTAGCGTCGTTTCACCGTCAGAATCGAACTGCAACTTGGAAAAGGCGGTATAAACTAGGATAGGCGAGGCGAGGCGTGGCGAGGCTGGACGATCGCTTATCCGTTATCGGACCGCGATCACTAAAGTCTAATCTATCGGTAGCGGCGACTTTACCGCGGCACGCGTGTCATTTCCGACAGATAGAGCGAGCTGACGCGTATCTAAGAATAGTTGTTAAAAAAACGGCGGATAGACGGACGGCCGTTTTCGCGGATATACGACCCAGCCGCCGATCCGCGCTCGTCCGTTTTCGTTGATTTGCTCGCGACATACGCGCAACACCTCGAATCAATTCGAACCGGTCGCCGTGAAAGAGGAAAGTGGCTCGCGCGGATCGCGAGCAGGAAAATGGACGCGTGCAAACGAACCTCAAACTGTCCTGCCCGCAAGGTCCTGCTCGGTATCGTGACAGTGGCAAACGAAGCCTCGTCGTTCGAGTCAAAGAGGAGGTGAAAAAGAAAAAGAAGAAGAAGAAGAAGAAGAAGAAGAAGAAGAAGAAGGAAAGAGGACAGGGCTCGAGAGCGTACACATAGATGGGTACCAAGTGGATCGTCGCGTTGACGATCGCGTGGCTAACGTTTCCGGTGAACGGGAGAACGACTTGTCGCGAGGTACAATTGGCTCGTGACTGCGAGGCCCTGTGCAAGAGAAACCGGAACGGGCCGATTTCCTGCGAGCTCAGGGTGGCCGTTCTACTACCGGCCGATCCAAGCTTCGACATTTCCTTGCCAAAGGTTCTTCCGGTTCTCGGTAAGTGAACGGTCGCGTCTAGTTCGCGCTTCTAAGAATCTCGAGAATTGCTCGTTATTGGTTGCTTTCACAGACTTGGCTGTCTACCACGCTAGATCGCGAGGCCTACTACCCCGCTGGTTGAAACTAAAGTTTCTTTCGCAGGACGATCACTGCGACGCGATGTACGCTCAGATCGGCGCGATCGATAGCTTTTCCAATTGCGTTCACCTCTTTCTCGGACCCGCCTGCGATTACTGCGTAGGTAAGAAGCGATCATCGAATTCGGGCATCCCTCGAATCACCACCCTTTAATCCCTCCGCTACCGTTTACCTTTCGTAGCTGCCGTTGGAAGGGTGGTGAAGTTTTTCGGCGCCCCGTTGATCACCACCGGGGGATTCACCTTCGATTTTACCGAGAAGAAGACCGAGTGCAAAGACGAATACTTTATGACCACTAGAATCGGAAACGTGGCTTTTAGGGATCTCGCCAAATTTATCGTTGCCTTGATGGATCGGTGCGTTTCTACGACTCTTTGCTTTTCCCTCGGTCCTTGTTTTAACAACGTTTTCTCAACCACCGCAGTCACGAATGGCGAAAGGTGCATCTAGTGTACGCGACGAACGGGCAAAGTCAGGTGGCCGGCAGACACACCTGTCAGCTGATGATGAAGTCGATGGTGGAGTTTATCAAGAAGCAGCCAAACTTTACGTTCGGTACGTTCGACCTGGAGACGACAGTGGGCGAAGATTACGAGGAAGCGTTGCGGACTCACGTCGGCAACTGGTACGGTGGTAAGTCGTTCGTTTCTCTTTCGTCGATCGACCGTCGTCTAAAATCAAAACGCTCACCGCGTGTAAACGACGCGTCGATTTTAGGAGAAATCGTACGAAAAACAGATGCATCGCCGTGTAAACGCGTTCGAGTTTAGCCTTTAATCGAATCGACGTTAAAAGGGTATCCGGTTAATGGGTTTGCAAATTTAACGAAAGCTTCGGTTCATCTCGCCAGAGCCAGCTAGCATTCAGATTTTTCACGAATAATAGCGGTTGCGGGACGCGCCCACGTTAAACGTTGAACATTAAACGCTTGTCTCGGATGTTTTTCTTTCTGTCGACGCCCGTCGATTCGCACGGCACGCAATTTCGTGAATTCACCGCGAACGCGAAAAGAAAGCTTCGATCGTCCGTCTAATTGGCCGTATCAATTAGACGAAGCGAGCAACGTTATCGCATTGTTTCCTGAACGTTATCGCGACGCGTTATCATCGTACCAAAGCGTTTCTATTATTGCTCCGTTACGGCACGATACGCGGCGACGCGTCACAAAGTCTATATTTATACGTTTTCTCGACGAATGGGTTAAAAACGAGTATGCACGCGATCAATCGCTGACAATAGGATTACAAGATTTTTTTTCGATTGATTCTCTTCTCTTCCATCGAATGACCGAGCAACTTCTCCGTCCGTTCGAAAGCCGCGGTTTTTCTTCCACCGATAAGGATCGCCGAATCGCATACCTTTGGTCGATAATCGGAAGGTTATCTTGGCCGTCGATAACTCGTTTCGATTTCGAATCGATGTATTTTGACGAAGATCGAGGCAAAGAAGATCGCGCACGTCTCGACGAGGATAAGGTTACGCGGTGTAACGAAAAGGTGTATCGTCCTAACGGGCAAAGGGCGTTACAATGCAAAGATATCGGACGCATGCGTTCCCGTGCGACGCTTGCGATCGGCGCACCAACGCGTACACACGGTACGTGTACCAATGCTATCCTAGACGCGCGTACTCTGGGTCAGAGAGGGAGAGAAGGATGAAGAGGAAGAGAGCGATCTCGTCTGGCATCGCTGGCGATCCCGCGAGAACAGCGGATTTACCGCCTCTTGCCTCAGTTTCAATCGCGCGCCCCGAGCTTACTCGCGCCAACCGCCACCACGACTCAACAGCCCTCGCGCTCCTCGAGCTTCACTTTCGAAATCGTTCGCGACCGGTTCGCTGTTGGAAACGCGTTCGAGAGAATCTTTAATTCGAGTTACATTCGATTCCTTCGACGATCCGTTTATAAATCGAAAGGAGAAATCGAAATCGGCATGGTCCAGGTAACAGGATAGATACGCGAAATGCGAACGCGACGCGTGGGCGTGTGCCCAGAGGAGACCGCGAGTCGACGCGTGGACGCGTGAACTTGGAAAATCGGGAAAAGATTGGTGCGATGCGCGCGACTGAAGGAACGAGAGGAAAGAGGTAGCCGAGCAATCCGAAACCCTTCGAGGAAGGTAATCGCGACAAGATGCAACGGCGATCGAAAACGGGAAAGTGGTACGGACGCGGTAACGAGGCGCCGATGAGATTAACGTTGCTCCTGACGACGATGTGTGCTAGCGCGAGCGCGAATGCCTCGACCACGATGGAACAAGCCTCGGTAGACTGCATGGAACCGCGGGCGTCGTTGAAGAAGGAGGTGAAACTGGCGGTGATAGCACCTGCCGATCCTCGCCACGAGCAGAGCTTGCCGAGAGTTTTGCCGGCCGTAGTTTTGGCGGTGAGAGCTGTCAGTTCGGCGAAGGGACCACTGGCTGGATGGAAAATAAAGGTGGATCATCGGGACTCGCAGTGCTCGAGCACCTACGGTCCTTTGGCGGCCTTCGAGTTTTACATCAATCGCACGGCAGGTCATCCGCTTTAAGTTCCTCGCTTTACATCCTCTTCTCTCTCTTTCAATTTCAACATGCGTTTTGTTTATCCCGCACGAATTGTACACCGGTCAAAAATGCCGGTCTTTGTTCCCATTGACGGTCCCCTGATGCTTATCGATATCTATAATTAGAATTGTTTACGCGCTCGCCCATCGAGCTTTCCTTCGTTTTCGACGGTTTATCGACGCTATTATCGAGCGTGACTGATCGCCGCGGCGAGTAGTAACGTTCAGCTGCAACGGTGGCGGAGAATCGATTCGCGTGGTCGCGTCCCAAAGGGCTCGGCTCGACGATTAGTTGGCGGTGCGGTTTAATAAGGACCGTTTCGCGGAGCAGAAATGGTCGGCCAACACGGTTGACGTCACGTTCCGGGGACCGAGGCGACGGGACGTGCAGCTGCAAAGCAACGACATTTCTCTTTGCTCTTTGCTCTTCTTTCTCGTTCCGAGACCGTTAAATACCTCTTCAATTCCGTTTAATTAGTTCTCTCAAAGTCCTGGCCGTTTCTCTCGCTTCCATAGGGAATTGTAAGAATTAGCTGGTTGCTCGGACGCAAAGCGATTCGTTTGCTCGGACGTCTCTGCTCGCGACGCGTTCTCGTTCCAGCTTTCGACGATTCGCTACGATCGCGTTTGATCGTGTTTACGCGAGCAGCGGTAATAAAACGGCCTCGATCGAAACACGCGGGACTCATCAACGCTCTTCTTTCTTTTTTTTTTTATTTTTTCATTCTGGATGGAAGCGCATCTTCCATCCGATGAAAAACGGTCGATAAGCTCTCGTTGATATTCTCATCGGCCAACTTCCTTTCCTTTTAACGCCGCCTTTCCATCACCTGTACATTTTCCGACGCTCCGGCGTGGAAAGTGATAGCCGTAGGTGTTTCTCGGACGCATCGTATAGCGAGATAAACGTTATCGTTTCGTGAAAATACATCGCCCGGAGAGACGGATACTCGATAAGCTTGGAATTCTCGTCGATTCGATGGATCGAAGGGAACGGAACGGAAGCAACCGCTCTCATCGACCGTGGAAACCACCGCGTGCCACTCCTCTCCTCTTCACGTTGCTTGTTCCAGCAATTCGCGATCGCTTCGAATTGGCACGCGGTGGTTACTTTGCAACGCTAATCGTCGATCGATCCACGCGATACTCTCGGATTCGCCCGATCAACTAACTTTCCTTTTCGATCTCGATTTTCATCGCAAAGCGCCAACTAGGCGTGGTCTACGATCGAACGGAATTACCATTTTTTTTTTTTTTTTTTCTCGACTTTGCTAAGGGCACAGAGGATCGGAGAGACGAGGGGAAAGAAAAAAGGACGGTGAAACTTGTTAATGAAATTGAATCGTTGGATTAAGCTCGGGACGCGAAACACGACTAGAATATTTTCGTTCGGTAAGTTTTCTCGGGGAAAGGAATTCCGACGGGGGCGAGGGCAGTTTATCAGGAGGTATTTACCAAAGTCAAAGTAGCGCGATGAAAGAGAGAAGAGAAGGGGAGAAAATGGTGGTGTTTTTCATTTGATCGCATGGATCGTTTCGAACGCAGACGCTTTTCTGGGCCCCGTCTGCGATTACGTGATCGCGCCGGTCGCCAGATACGCGGGTGTCTGGAGGATCCCGGTGTTGACGGCCGGCGCTCAGGCCGAGGCGTTTCGCTACAAGGGTGAACACTATCCCACCCTGACCAGGATGATGGGTTCCCACCGGCTGGTCGGCGAGGCGCTCAGGCATATCTTGAAACGTTTCGGATGGAAAATCGCCGGACTTCTTTATCACAATCACGCGATGGCGAGCAGCCGTGGCAACTCCGAGTGCCACTTCACTTTGGGCGCTGTGTTCACCGCTTTGAATCAAACGCCTGTCTACCGAAGCTTCAATCAAGAGACGACGAGCGGCGAGGACTACAGGAATTTGCTCGCCTTCCTCGCTAAGTCTGCCAGGAGTAAGTGGCCCCTTCGTCCCTTTCGTCATCCCTTTCGATCGTTCCTCCGTTTTTTTACTCGGTAAATCGCGGGATATAATCGAACGCGTAAAACTCGTATTACCGGGAATAGGTTGGAAAGACGACGGTTAGTCGGCAAAAAGTATCGTAGTGAAATTTAAGCGTAAATCGATGCAACGACGAAACTTTTTCTTCCTTTCAGTTGTAGTGATGTGCGCCAATTCGACGACGATCAGGGAAATTTTACTGGCCGCCGAACAACTCGGGATGGTGGATTCCGGGGAGTACGTGTTCTTCTCGATCGAGCTATCGTCCAGGTAAGGGTACTCGAACGAACGCGAACGGTTCTCGAGGGTTCGCGAGATGTTTGCCGAAGTGGATCGGGGATTAAAATTCATCCGTTCGAACGGAGAAACGAGCGCGCTTTTTTACTTGTTCCATCGTAGTTTTCCTATCGTGACTTTGATCGAACGGCGAAAAGCGATGCCTCGATTTCCCCTCGAGTCGAATTCAATTAGCTCCGTTGCCGTCCGCAAACCACAGCTTCCTTGTTCGGAATCTACGTTACGCCGTTTGGTTGTTTCAGCGACAACAACTCGGAGGAACCGTGGAGAGTGGAAACCGATACGGAGGAGAAAAACGAGAAGGCGCGAAAAGCCTACCAGGCGTTGTTAACGGTGACCGCGCGAACTCCCGATAATATCGAGTACTTGAACTTTTCGAGGGAAGTGAAATCACTGGCCCAGAGCAACTACAATTTCACGTTCGGTAACAGTTCGGTCTCGACGTTTGTCACCGCTTTTTACGACGCCGTCCTCCTTTACGCCCTTGCGCTTAAGGAGAGCTTGCCGGCATATCCGGGAAAAATTAATTTAGACGGCGGTGATCTCACCCGAAGGATGTGGGGAAGAAGCTTCAAAGGTAATTCAAAAGCCTTACCTTTTTTTCCTTTTCGATGCTCGAACGTTCGATTGCAGGTATAACGGGTGACGTGAATATCGACGAGAACGGCGATCGAATAGCGGACTACTCTCTTCTCGACATGAATCCTGAAACATCGAGGTTCGAGGTAAAACGACGCGCAAATTTTCGACGATCGGTCACGCCGCGTTTCTTTCCCTAAACATCTATCGTTTGTCGCAGATCGTCGCTAATTATTACGGCGCCAATAAAACGCTCGAGTATATACCTGGGAAAAGGATTCACTGGTCCGGTGGTCGAAAGGAACCACCGCCGGATACACCCACCTGCGGCTTCGACGGCTCCTTGTGTCCCGATAATTGTAAGTTTTTCCAATCAATCGGTTACATCGTCCGGTTGCGTTTCACGCTTCCAATCGGTTCTCTGTTCTACGACAGCTCTTCCAGGACACGCGATTCTATCGATGGTCCTCAGCTCGATCGTCGTCGTCCTCGCAATCGTTTCGGTTTTTATCTACAGGTAAGCTGATCGATTACGACAGAGGCAAAGAAATCTGAAAGAAAAACGAGACGATGGAATTATTTTTACAGACACTTTAAGCTCGAAGCGGAAATAGCTTCGATGACCTGGAAGGTGCACTGGAACGATATTATCGTGATGCCGAACGCGAAAACGAGAGGTTCCATGTACTCGTTGATGGCGAACAAGATGCGCGGTAGCCAACTGGTGAATACCCGAGAGATATCGCGTTTGTTCCGTTATCAAAGGAGAACCACGATATCGAGTTACCTTAGATGTCGAAGATTTTACGAGAAAAATAGGCGTCCCTCGTTGTTCCGAGTGCTGTCGCGAGCACTCGATCCTTCCTTTTTCTACCACTCGTTTTTTCCTCTGGAAAATAAAATTTCTTTTTAGACGGGAATATTGTTTCTCGAAAAACGAAAAATAAATCTCTTCGCGTTTACCCGAGATCGCGTCGCTATTCTCTTTTCTCCGTTCAATCGAAAACGAACGCGTTTTGTTTGCAGACCATCTATTCGGTGGATAACGCCAGTTTTGGGGCCGAACTGGACAGAACCGTCTACGTTCCAACGGGGATATACAAGGTTCGATTGTTACGGTGACGGTATAAAAATATGGTGATATTAACAAACTACGAACATTCGTTGCAGAACTCCAAGGTTGCCATAAAACTGATACCGAGGGACAAGGTGGAAATCTCGCGGCCCCTGTTGCTCGAACTGAAGAGGGTGAGTAGCAGCGATCGGCGAGGGGAACCGTCAAATTTTACTACTTTCCTTCATTTTCTTTTTCGCATAGATGAAGGACCTTCAGCACGATCATCTGGTGCGGTTCTACGGTGCTTGCGTCGAGCCCCCGCACTGTTGCCTCTTGACCGAATACTGCCCCAAGGGTTCTCTTCAGGTTCGTCGAACTTTCCTGCAAGTACACGCGATCGATTCGACTCTGAACGAATAGTAACTGTAAATAATGTCTAGAGTAAGTTGAGAGTAGCCGAGAACGTAACTCACGGTTCGTATTACCTATATTCGGTAGTAGTGGGTGGATGGGAGGGAAGGTCGATTAACTTTGCTCGAGTTTCTCGTAGCCCACAGTCTACGCTCTCGTTATCGAACTTGATTAAAAAAGCAATCGAATTTCGAGATGAAACTCTAATCGTTTTACATAGCGATCTAGAGCTAGAGGGGAATCGACCTTCCTTTGACGCTTGAACCGATCTTTCCCTGACAGGACATCTTGGAGAACCAGCAGATCAAACTGGATCGCGTGTTTCGTGGATCTCTGATACACGATATCGTTCGAGGGATGGGGTATCTTCACGCGTCCGAACTAAAGAGCCATGGCAATCTAAAATCCTCCAACTGTGTGGTCGATTCGCGATTCGTTCTCAAGATCGCCGATTTTGGATTGCACGAACTGAGGAAGCCTAATCCCATCGAAGCGGAAGCGGACAGGAACAGCTATGCCTACTGGAGAAGTGAGCGTTTCAGATTGTTGAGAAACATTGTCGTCTCGCGATGCGTTTTTTCTTGCCTGTTCGAGACTTGGCTCGCAAAGACACAGAAACACGAAATGTCGTTGTTTATTCAGGACAGCTGTGGACGGCGCCGGAATTGTTGCGAATGGAAAGGCGACCACCGGAAGGTACTCAAAAGGGCGACGTGTACAGCTTCGGTATAATCGTCCACGAGATCGTGGTACGAAAAGGACCATTCTACTTGGGTGACGACCGCGACCTCTCACCGAACGGTAGGTGGTCGAGCTTTTTCCCTTACCCAGACATTCACCACCGTTGATACGCGACGTTCGATTTTCCGACGTTTCGCGGCTGGAAAAGCGGATAAGAAGCAACCGGTAAGGGAGTTTGGGCGAAAGCTCGTATCGACCGCGTGGAGCTCGTAGGAAAAGGGAATCGCTGGTTCGGGTTCTCCCGGTGGGGTCGATCGGTAACGAAGTTTACGAGCTTTCGCAAGCTCGTTGTCGAGCAGAGAGCGGCAGGATCGATCACAGGATGGAACGTGCCACAAGTAGGCTAGGAGCTTTCCGAGACGGGGGTTGAAAGCTCAGTCGAAGCTTTCACGCGTCCTGGAACGCACACGGTTTCGCGCGCGCTTCCTCGTCGCTTCTTTCTGTCCATCTCCTTCTTCCTTTTTCTATCTTCTTCTCGAACACGCACCAACATCCGCACGACTCCATTCTCTTATACACCGACAATTCACGCTCTCCCCTTTGCGCCCGTGTCCGTTCGCTACTGTTTCTACCCTTTTCACGGGATTCCTGATCCCGTATCGGCACGTGAAATCAACGGATACGCAGTTACGCCTGAAGTTGAAGGTCCGATAGACTGATAGACGAACGCGGTAGGTCCCGTTTACCGGTCTCTGTTTCGATTAATCAACCCTTAGGAAATCGAACGTCCAGAGGAACGTGTGTGCGCGCGGGTGGCTTGCTGCGTGCCTGCGTGTCTCGGGTGTTGCGTGTTTGCGTGCCTTCGTGCCTGCCTACATCTCTCTACGTGCCTGTGTTTACCAATCGTTAGACCGTCCCATTTACGCGGCCGGATTTTCCTTTTTGCTCGATATTCAACCTCTTTTTCCCCTCCACCCCTTCTTCAATCGCTCTCTCTCTCTCTCTCCTCCCCCTTCTCGCTCTGTCTGCATCTCACTCTCACGCTGTATCCACACGTCCCTATCCGTTCCCCCTACTTCGTCCTCCTTCCCTTTTCCTCCCGCCTTCTGTTCTTGCTCGTTTTTACGAAGCCAATTACCCTGATTCCGTATCCGAGATCCGGCAATTAATTGATTACTTCGTACGGGCCGGAACACACGACTCGACGCGAGCACGCCGGGTCGCGAATCCTTTCGATCGCAAAACACCGAGCTACGGTAGACACGATGCCGCGGATATCCTTGATATTCTCCTGGATTCGTAGTCTGCTCGAGTATGAAATGGGTTCGAATCGAAGGCCAGCATAAACAACGGCGTTGCGTAAGCGGAAAAGAATCGCCGGCACGGCGACCCGTTGGCTCGTGTGTCGCGGCTATTATTTTGTGTCCCATCGAGACGAAAGAAGAAATCGCACGTTTCTAGAACGACTTGGTCGCGTTTTGATTCGGTTCGCTCGTTGACGATATCGCGATGTTAGCGGGGAAAAAGGGGGTCGTTGAATCGAAGCAGGGAACTGTCGAGTAAACTCGTAACTGCCCATGTGGTAGGTAGGCGCGGAGTCGCGGAACTTTTCCCTTCGAATTCGGTCAATCATATTCGGTACTTTCCTTCCCCCTTTATCTTGAATCATTCGCAGTCGACCCCGTTAATTGCACACGCGGTTACGTTTCCATGAATCCTGATGATCGTACGCACCCTGAGAGAGGAAATAAAGAATGGAAGGAGCGAGTGGGAGAGAGCGAGTAAGAGAAATAGAGTGTGCGAGATACAGGAGGAAGAAATAGGTGGAAAAAAAAGCATAGTAATCGGGATAGATAGGAAAAGGAGAAGAGATGGCAGAAAGAAGCAATACGTCGAGCACGAGTAGTCTAACGTTGCCGGCGATGCCGGGCGCCAGTCCCGACGGTGGGGCCAGCCCTCGAAGGGCCGTCAGTCCTTTGCTCGAAGTCCGTAGGCCTCACTGCACCCTCAACTGCGAGACTTGCAACGTCTTCCTGGAGGATCTGTACAGGCACAGTAGGTTGCACATTTCCCTTTTGCCGTGATCTTGCTTCTTCCTTCTTCCTTTGTGCTTGCCCGAGGAAGAGACGCGGCATCGCATGAATTTCCGTTCGCCTCGTTCGAATAAACGGGACTCGTTCCACTGAACGGACGTTGTCGAGCAAGTAGCGAGTAGTACCGATAAGTCCGACGGGACGCGATCACTGCACGCCGTGCTTCGAACGGATCGATCGATTGGTTCGATCAACCTCGCGTTTTTCTCTATGTCTGCCTACACGAATCTACGTGATCGGTGATATGAGATTCATCAGTCGGCGAACCAAGCAATTATCGTTCCGTTTCAGAAATCGTAGAAGGAGTGAAAAGGGGCGGTGGTTCCCCTTTGAGGCCAGCGATCGACGAGTCCGCGGTCGAAGAAGAAGTAAGCACGCTTTCTTTTCCAATTATTCGAATCACTGGACGGTAATGTCGCGTTCCGGTCTTGTCGGAAATAGATCGTTTGATAAGATCGATCGTTGCGATTCGGGGAATAACGAGTTGCGATTTCGATTAGGTGGCTACGTTGATGAGGAGATGCTGGGCACAAGACTCCGCGGACCGACCAGATTTTCCCGCGCTCAAGCAGACTATACGAAAAATTAACAAGTGAGTAACGACACCTTTCCGCTTCACCGATCGCCATTCTTTTTCTCAATTTCCTCCACCGTTGTTTTGCTTTTCTCTTTGTCCCGAGGTCGATCATCTCCGATATTGGCATACTTGTCAGCAATATTCCTTCCAACTATTTCAGAAGTTCATTGAAATCCTGCTTTCTACCGACGCGTCGCGGCGTCTGTTTATCCGCGATGTCCTTTTCGATAATTTTCAAAGTCAAATCGTACAGCCTGTTGCGCGAACCGCGTCAAGCGTGAAATGCTCGACCGCGCGGTAAATTTGATCTTTTCTCGATAGAATCGAATCACCAAATTGCCTCCGCGAACCTTTCTTATTTTTCAATCGACCGTTAAAAATTAATTAACAGATATTTCGAACGTCAGGAGGGTCGAGCGTTTTATCGATCGATGGGAGCATCCTGTTGCGCGATACCGGGATACTTGCGCAGACGACTCCTCGTTATCTCCATTTTCCTAAACTTTATTCGCAAAAATGAATTTTAAACCGCGATTTCGCGTAATGGCATCGCGTACACCCTCGATTGCTTCGGAATGACCTTTTCGAACGGCCATCAGGGAAAGTATACGTTCGTTTCAGAGACTACGAGAGCAGCAATATTCTGGACAATTTACTCTCTCGTATGGAACAATACGCCACGAATTTGGAGACTTTGGTGGAGGAACGTACCGCTGATTACCTCGAAGAGAAACGCAAATGCGAAGAGCTTCTTTATCAATTATTGCCCAAGTGAGTAGAAACTTCTATTCTCCGCCCTCCCTTCTTAAAGTATCTTCTCCCCCGAGAAATCCCGTGTACGCGAATCGATCGATGACGATAAGAGAACCATCGAGACGAAGAAGAAGAACGTTCGAAAATTTCAGGTCCGTCGCGTCTCAGCTGATACTCGGTCAAAGCGTGATTGCCGAAACTTACGATCAAGTGACCATCTACTTTAGCGATATAGTAGGATTTACCAAACTATCGGCCGAGAGCACTCCTCTTCAAGTGGTGGATTTGCTTAACGATCTCTACACGTGTTTCGACTCCATTATCGAAAATTTTGACGTCTACAAGGTAAACGCGATTATCGATCCCGTACTTTCGCTTTCGCTCGGTTAACGCGTTTCATTTTCAACCGTTTCACGGGCTTTACCTTCATCAGGTGGAGACGATAGGTGACGCTTACATGGTAGTGTCTGGATTACCGGTGAGAAACGGAACGAATCACGCGAGGGAAATTGCCAGGATGAGCTTAGCGTTAAGAGACACCGTGATGACGTTCAGTATAAGACACAGGCCGAACGAGCAGCTAAAGCTTCGAATTGGGATGCATTCCGGTAAAATAGAATTTCTCGATAACAATCATTGTCCTCTTTTTTCCCCCTCCACTCTCGGACGAAATTGGATCATTACCCGTTTACTTTTATTATTTTTTTTCTCGTTAATTTCGATGGAATTTTCTTTCCTTTTCTTTCCCCCGTTCGATGCGGGAAAGTCTGCTGCACGTAACTCGTTTCGTTGATCGTTAATCTCGTTGGGCTTATGATCGCGCGGTAAATATTCGTAGATTGACCGGATCGACGACTCGCGATTTCAGGACCCTGCGTGGCTGGCGTAGTCGGCTTGAAGATGCCAAGGTACTGTCTCTTCGGAGATACCGTTAACACAGCCTCTAGAATGGAGAGCAACGGTGAAGGTAATTTACTTAATTCTGTAGTAATTAATTCAGCTACTTTCCATTATCGAACCGCTCCGTTTCTCGACTCGAATACGTTTTTCCGTTCGCAGCTCTGATGATCCACGTCAGTCCGAAGACGAAGGAAATCTTGGACACCTTTGGCACCTTCGAACTTGTTTGCAGAGGCGAGGTCACTCTGAAGGTGAGATCCTACAAAGGAAACGATATCTCCGATTTAGCTTATCTTTGCGTGTTTGCTTAACAGGGTAAAGGCACGATGACTACATACTGGTTGATGGGTGAGAAGCCAACCAACAATAACGTTCAACGAGCAAACGTTTCCTCGATAACGACATCGACAACGACGACGACAACGACGGCAGCAGCAACCATGACAACGATCGCGACGACGACGCACGCGGCGAAGCCGGAAGATAAACGACCGTGCGATATGGCGCGGCAAAGCTGTCAGGAGCAGAATACGAGTGTTCGAGTGCCGACAAAGATTCCGGAACAGTCAGGATCTCAGTCTAATCAGCTTCGACGACAGTCGATCGGTCCTCGCGACGTTCAAATTCAGAGTCGCAAAGAAACGACCGACGACGGTGGCGGAGGCGGCGGTGGTGGTGGCGGCGGGGGTGGTAATAACGTAACAGGAAACGGAGCAACGATTCGCGCTCGTTCGATATCTGGCAGCTCGATGGTAGACGTTTCGCCGTCTCGAAATCGCGTTTCCGTCTCCGCCTCGGCGTCGTCGAACAGCGCGATTTCGCAATCCCGTCGTTCCTATCAAACGACCGCCGACAGTATTCCAAATCACACGGAGAGTGGACCAAACGCGCCCCTGTTGGTACCCGCGGCACCACCTCCCCGAGTCTAGCTCCTCTACCACTCACACATTGTTCATTCGTGATTCCTGTATCATCGTCTCTCGTGTAGAATAGCAGCGAAGCAACCTCTGATCGGCCCGTGTCCGATTGAAATTTGGGTCCACTCGTTCGAAAGAATGCCTCCTGCCTTTCGACGTAAAAAACACTGATTCACGGAGAAGAGCTTAGTTGCGCGCCAACAACAATCTTTCCTATCCACTGGCCATAGGAAAGCGTGCGTCTGTTCGCGACCTACCTACCTACCTACCGTGTTCCCCATAGCGTCGATAATTTTTCGAGGACCAGCGCTTTCACTAGAATAACCGCGAAACTCCGAAATACCAGATTTTATACGCGTACGCGGAAATGGAGGGATAAGAAACTATGAAGCAAACAGGAAATGACACGATGCGAGTAAAATATGTTGCGCGCACGCGTATGATTGCATCACTCAACACAAAACGGGCTATATTCGTGTGTACCTATACTCATGGCACGTGCATACATGAGCAGACGCAACACAGACAGACAAACACATACGTAATCGTATACACTTATATTTATATTTATGAAGAGTTAAAGTTAGATATCGGTGTGCAAAAGTAGAGGCGGGGCCTCGTCCGAAAATCACGGCCGTATCTATAGCTTGACTATTGGCTATGCGCAAAATGGTCGCATGCTAGAGGTATTAGGTATACGTGTACGCGCGTGGTACACGCCGTAAAACGAAAGTATGAGAATCGAGCACGACCCGCGTCCCGAAGATCGAATTTCTCTCTATTCGTGTCAATCTCTTTTAACGTTGTAACGATCGATATTCCTAAAATAAAATTTCATTGTTTCCAAACGTCAATCGACTTTTCTTTTTACAATCCTCCGACCTAACCCGTCCAATCTAACCAGTTAAAAGACAGCGTTCTCGAATATCCAATCCAGGTAAGAGCTGACACGGGTGTATATACCAGGACGGCCAGGCTCGCCGCAACGTATCCCCCAAGATACTATCCCGATGTTCACCCATTTCCCGTTTTCCAACCGATGCAGCAGCGGTCCCCCGGAGTCGCCCTGCGTGCAAACGTGCCAATAATTAATCTGAGATTATGCGATCACTGAGCAATTTACCTGGCAAGCATCGCGTCCACCTTCGTAAGCGCCAGCGCACATCACCGTCCTCGGTATTCGTTGAACGAAACTTTGAACGCAGCTGGCCTGGGGCCATACGGGAACCTCGACTTCCATCAACACCGTACTGGCGGGACCGCCGTAGTAACTGGTACCCCAACCTGAAAAACGTCGCAGCGGTATGTAATTAATTCGTCTCCCCGTACAAAGATCGATTCTTATCAGCTAACCGGTTACGATCGCGCTCTTGTTTTCGAACGTTTGATCGATCGGCGGCAAACAGACGGGCCAAACGTAGCTGTCGAACACGGTCGGTCGATGCATCTTCACGATCGCGATGTCGTTCTCGTACGAAACGGGATCAAAGTCCTGATGAACTCGTGTCTCCGATACCGCAAAGTCCAAGGCTCTGGTCTCTTCGGACGTGTCGAAATCGTACTCGCCCAGCCGGACTCTGACGTCTTTGCGTTCGTACCTGAAAAATAAAGAGTCGGAGGAGACAAACGATGTCGAACTGTTTTTATAGTTTACCTGCCTGTTCACGCAATGAGCCGCGGTTAACACGTGTCTATCGGTAACGAGTACCCCGCCACAAAACTGGGTCTGATCCTTTCTGAGAAGGGCCACCATCCATGGCCATTCTCTGGGATCGGCCGGTTCACCGCCCACCAGCCTGGTTCGACCGTTTGAACTCGTTCCGCATCCTCGAGGTCTTTCCGGTTTCTTCTCCGTTCGAAACGTGGTGCTCTCTGCCACCCAAACGATTCTACTCGCGTCAGCGTCGATCCCTGTTTCCTTCGATTTTTCAACGTTCACTGAAACACGGAACAATCTAGCATCTTCTGTGTGTGTCAATTTTGATTTGTTTTACGTACCGGCAATCAACGGCAAAATATTGGCGAGATCCTCCTCGACGACCAAATTCTTTGACACCTCGCAACACACACCAACGTAGCTGTTTTAATTTGTTTTTAGTTAGAATTGATCAAACTAGAGGAGGCAGAGTAAAAACGAAACTTACGCTTCATCAATTGTACACGCGTGTTTCATCGCGAGGGAGAAGTTCGATCGATATTCCTGAAGGAAACACGTGGTCAGGTATTCGCAACGTCCAGTTTTCTCGCTCGGTCCGATGCATCTCGTCGACGTTGAAGATAATGCCTAAACACGGATTCCTTCAATTGTTTGGAAATGTTTATGAAACGATAACGTACCTTATCAATGGAAGCGGAATGGAAGGATTCCTGTTCGCGTCTAACGGGCTGATTCCTCGTCGAATCTAGAAACGAGAATGATAAAACGTACAGAGTTATCGAGTGTGCTGGACGAGCAGATAGCGCGTATAAAATGCCAAGAATTTACGATTTTTCTATTCCGTTTGCGTGTCGAACAAATTCAAATCGTTTACTTGGTGAAAAATGAGTCCTTGAATTTCTCCAGGCGAAAAAAGAGGAACAATTTGAATTTTCATGGAAAGTAGAAGGCAACGGGACTATCACGAAGACGAATGAGGCTACTTACTCGTAACGTTTCTATCACCCAGGAAAAGAGATTGTCCGCGCCACGGGATGCATAAGAAGCAGAGGAAAAACGTTCCTCGGATTAAGCACGTTCGAAGAGGCGTTTGTAAGCGTTCCATCTTCCAACCAGAATCACGACCGAGAACCGTTGATGGACGACACAGAACAGACAACGACGCAGTCGAAAATGCGGAAACGCTCGCTTATATACGCGGCGCGTACTTGTTCCACGAGCAGGGCAACCCGCCTTGCTCCTTAGAAATTTGGTTGCCTGTCTTCCAGGCTCGCGGATACTTTTATTTTATTATTCTACAGAACATAATCTTGTAAATTTATTAACGACGAGTACCATCGACGCTTGTTAAGAAATATAAAATATACATTTCTAGAGATTTTCCCATTTTCCGTGTAAACGGTTTGATTCAATAGCGTCGAGCAAAAGCTTTCTCTTCTTTCTTCTTTTGCAGTTAATTTGCTTTCGCTTCTGTTGAGAAAATTAACGAGACAGGATCTGAAAGGAAGGAGGAAAAAAGCGGGGGAAATGGTAAAGGGGAATCTTTGAGCGACGTTAGGGAGAAAAGAGGAGAGGAAAGGCAGGAAAGGCGGAGAAAGAGAAGGCGAAAAGAGCGGGATCGAGGACAAGCCAGGGGCATTTCCATTTAAGGCACCCCGCGTGCAATCTCTCGCTCCTCTCGGCGCCACTTTGACACGCGTACTCGCGAAACGTTCACCATCGACCCGATGCGTAACGTAACATACTTTTCGCCTCGATTTGCTCTCATTTCAACGTAAGGAGAGCCTTCTTTTTTTTCTCTTCTTTCCTTAGTCTCAGCTGTGCGTGAAACCTGCGTACGAGTTTGGTTAAAGAATGAAAAACTTTGCTTATTTATTCGATAATAAGTTTACACGTTGATAAAATTTGCTCGATTACAAGTGAAATGCGTGTATATAGGTTGGCGGATAGGAGAGGCTGGTCGATCGTCGTTTTTCGCATTCCCGCGTTGTTCGCCTGCTATTTACGCGTCGTCGTTTATCGGAACTGGTTTGGCGTTTGGGTCCTTTAGATCCAACGTGTAACCGTGCACTCTGGAGACTTTCGTAGCGGGATCGTAAATTTTGTCGACGTGTCGAAGAGTGTCGCCCACGACTTTGTCCGTGGTCTCGCGAACGAACGGTTTACCGTCGGACGTGCGACCGGAATAAACGATCTTCGTTCCATCCTGCCCTGACACCACCAGGTTGTTGTTGCCTCCGATTATCTGCACGTTACCTGGACCTGCAACGATATCGTTCGCGCGAAGGTTGAATCGCGTATCGATGGAACCGTTCGAACGGAAAATCCGTGCGATCGCCTTGAGAAACCGAGAGAACGGATCTCGCGATCGATAGTGAAAGGAACGAAATCCTCCGAACGCGTTAATTTATGAACGAACGGAAAAATCGCACGATCCGTACCTGATCCTTCGTTCAGGTTTTCCCTCAGTTGATCGACTTGCTCCAAATTGCTTCGCACCGTTTCCTGCACCCGTTGATTCACCTGTTGTACGTTCTGTTGAATGTTTCTGTTCAACGCCTCGATGTTCTGGGACAGTCCCTGGAGCCAATTGGTGCCCCACACCGCTTGTCCATTGCACCCGCTGCCAATCGCAAACCCGTTAAGCCAATAGGAAAATCGAACGAGAAGAATGCGTTGCTCGTGTACGAAAATACCGAGGAAACGTGGTGGTAAATATATCGCGGTCGTAACGCGAAACGGACTTATCGATCGACTAACCTGCACAACATCGCTCCGACAACGAGTATCGCCACGCAAACGCGTTCCCTCGTTCCACCAAACTTCTTTTCTCTTCTCTGCATCGTTTTTCTCCTGTCTTCGAAATACGTTTTCTTCAAAACACTTCTATCCACGCGAGTCTAACCGCGACAATACAGCTGCCGAGAAATACGTAACCGCTTCAACACAAAACGCTCGGTAAAAGCTAGTTTCCCCCTTACTAATCCAACTGAGAGATACGAAGCGCGGCTCGTTCCACGTTTGCTTTCCGACGTGTTCGTGCCGCGATCGTGAATAATACTTGTTTGCAGTACAGCCTTAGCGTTTAAAATCGCATGACGTGGACGTAACCGATGTCACGGGTGGACGCGTACTTGTTCTTTTCTCTCGTCTCCTTTCTACTCCGGCTTCCTCGTAATCTAATTCTTGCGTTGCGAACAACGTTTATCGCTGGTGGACCCACCGACTCGTTACGATTCCGGGAATCCCACGATCCGATCGGGACGGTTGCATTCGCGGTGCATTCCTCGGGAGGAATCAGAAGGAAGGGAGAAATCGGTATTTGTCGCGCGATTTCCACTTTGCAACGTAAAAGCTTGTTACACGGCGCTCGTGTCCGATAAGGGGCCAGGAGGTTATCCGTGGAACGAGAAGACGTAATTGCGACCTCTCCGTCGTGACGTAGCGCTGAATTTTCTTTCGATTCGACCGGTCGACGAGAGGTCGGAAGAAAGGAGTTACGTTTCGCGGCATAAGAAGCGCACAATACGGGGGAGTAGCGAGCGTATAGGACGCGGAGGACGTACGGGCCGATCCCGATGGGAGACGGCGTCGAAGAAGAGGCTTCTCTCGTTGACCCATGGGGCAGAAACTGGTTTCGGATTCGGATTACACGGCCGAAACCGTTCTCGAGTACGCTCTGGGCTACGCATCCCGACCCCCCACGCGTCCACTCCTACGGTAAATGCGCTTCTTCCATCTTCCCGTCCTTGAACCCTCTTTTCCCTCGTCTCCTCTTTCTCGTTTCACCTCCACTCCTCCTTTCCTTTCGTAATTTTCTTTGCTTTTCGATTCCCCTCCGTCCTCGCCTAACCGCACCCAACGCTCTCCCTCCGCACACTGTTCCAGCAGACCGATACACCAACGACCAACACATCTCCGGCCCTTCGTTCGTGTGTTTTCACCTCCGACTCGATCGAGCAGGTAGCAAAGGACCCGAATCGTAAACGCGTAATCGTCCCCGTCCTCTCCCTAGCGTTCTGCCTCGACACGAGCGAGGCAGGAGTAAAAAAGATGATCTAGCCGTACTTCGATAGGGTGATCGACCTTGGCCGATTCGGCCCTCGGACAGGGGCTCGCCGTCCTTTGTCAAGGATGAAAGTAGGGTCTCGCGCGCGCGCGCCTATTATCCTTTATTCGGTCCTCCATTTAGGTTCCACGAGTTCCCCCCGCACCGTCACGCATTTCCATCGCAATATCCTCGATAAAAGGGGTGCTCGCGAATCGACGCGCAGGGAAGGAAAATGAGAAAATTCGGAGAAACGGAGCGCGGAGAGATATTTAAAGGGAGCGCGGCAATGCTCGTAAAACGTCGGCCATCTGGGGAGGATCGAGAAAAGCTGCAAAGTGGTCTTTCCAGTGGTGCCCGCGGTGTATACGTATACTCGAGGCCGGATCGAGCGAGTAGACAGAGTGGGGAACAGAGCTACGACAAATCGGTGGTTCAGTGTTCTCGCGATAGTCGAGCGGTGTGGAGCGTAAAACTTGCACGTACAGTGTTTATTTCCTCCTACTGTACCGGATTCTGCGGTTGTTTTTTTAATCGAAGAATATTTCAAACCGAAAAACGAACCGCCCCGTCGATCAGACGGTTTTCGTTAGACGTTATACGATCGCACGATATCTTCTCGGCGATCTTTGTACAACGATCCTCCTGCAGAATCATGCCGGGGAAAGAGGAAAATGAAAGCTTGGTGAAATCCATGGATATGTGATCGCTTTCCTTCTCTCGGAGTCCGTAAGTAGACGAAAGTCTCGTTTTACGAGCGACACGAGTATTATCCAGAGCTAATCGTTTATTCCGCTAACGGAGTTCGATTCCTGCCGTTCGTTCAGTTCAAGAACAGCCAATCGCATCGTCGATAAAACTGTCAATAAAAGACGACGATAAAAGTACCGGAGCATTTTTCCCCAAGTACCCGTTCGCGTTATCGCGTCTACCAAGATCGAGCGGATCGTCAAGCTAGATCTCGATCCCTCGGTAAACTCGTGAGAAGACGAGCGCGCTCGTTATCTTCGAGTCGTCGTGAATCGTAACCGGCCGAGATAGAAGAGTTCAACGTAGACGAAAACTTTTCGGTACGTACGTAACGCGTGAACGCCTGTACTTAGATTATTAGCGGAAAGGGACGGCGTGGCGCGTGGTACGCGCGTACTTGGTTGCATACCTAGGCGCCCTGACATTAGCCAATTCGGACCGGGCAACTTCTACCGGTATGAATTATTTATCGAGCCGCGTCCCATCGTTTACGCTTTGGTTTTCGTTAAGAAGCATCGTTCGCGACTGGAATAACCTTTCGAGTGAAGAGCCGAAAGAACATCTCGACTCGGAAGAAAATCGTCGCTCGTTACCTTTCGAGTACACGATGCGCAACGGTAAAAACAGAAGAGAAGAGCAAAGAAGAGGACAGAGGAAAGCGACTGTCCCATCACGCGTTTCCCTCGAAACGTACGCTACGCGATTGGAGCTGAGTCGAGGCTTTTCGTTTCTCTCCCAGTCACGTACGCGCGTCGCGTTCTCCTGCTTCGGACGATGTTTTGTCCTGGCTCGCGATCTACGACCCGCGCTCGCCAACTCGACCGTGTAACCGGTTTAATAAACGTTCCAGCTCGGAAAGCGCGTCCCATTCGTTCGTTGCCTCTCCGACTCTTACCGAGCCGAACAGGAACGGTCTTTGCAGAAAAACGAGCGCCTCTTGGACGTTGACGAAAGCCGGAAGACGATCGCGAACATCGAGTAGCAGAAAAACGAGTAAGAGGCAGAGGAGGAAGCAAGAAGAAGGTCGTTGTCGCGAAAATAGCACAGCATCTTCTTCTCGTCTTCTCTTCTTTCCGTTCGGAACCGTCCAACGATCGGAGCTTGGTTCGTGGCTCGCGCGAACCAACGAACCGTATATGGAGTTGGCCTACTGATTCTCGATTCTCGATTCTCGCGTCCTCGATTCTCCGGGCTTTTCTGCAGCTCCGTTTCGAATCGGTCCGAGGTGCAGCCCGATCGATCGAACGCTGTTTCGACGATGGTATCGCGATAGGAGCGCGGACGCGGCGCGTGCACTTTCTCGCCTACGGCAAGGCAGCCTCGGACGTTACCTTGACGCTGTGTCTAATGCTAGCGAACGATTCCGAAGAGAAAACTGCATTTCGCGGTAAACATTGGCGAACGGTGGTCGATAAGAGAAATCCTGCAAGGCGATACGCGTTTCGACGACGCTTTTGCGTCTGGCCTCGAAGAAACGAGCGTCCGGCACGTACGTCGTGAATGGTTTCCTTTGTGGCGACGTTGTTAGCGTTCGAGAGGACTGTTTCGATCGTCGGGGCGGTGGCCGTCGTTGGTCGAGTAGCGGACGATAACCGCTCGTACGCGTCCTTTGAAAAAATGCACGCTTATCGACGCTTACGCGGCCGTTCTATCAGAGATTACCCGATAAATCGCAGCTCGAGTACCGCGACGCATTGTCTAGGCCGCGGTGTAGTTCGCGATAGAGTTTCTTCCACGATCGACCACCATTGACAATCGTCCGACGAGACAAGGTACGTAGGTGCATCAAACAGACTAGACGGTTTGACGCCGTCTCTCTTATCGGGGTGAGAACCTTTCCATTTCCTCGTCGAATTTCATCGGTTCCATTATCGGGAATGCGCGTGACGGACGCGCTCCTCGCTTCTTCTTCGTCTTCTCCTTCT